GCCCCCAAAGCCTCCAACCACCCCCGCGTGCAGGCAGCATAGCGGCCAGCCCGACCGGCCCGAGAGAAGCCTGCAGGGCTAAGATGGCGGCGCCCGTGCAGCAGGCGCGGGGCGTGCTCCGGCTGGCAGCGACCCTGGGCCCGGGCTCTCGCGGTTACCGGGCGCCGCCACCGCCACGCCGCTCGCCGGGGCCCTGGTGGCCGGACCCGGAGGACCCACTGACACCGCGCTGGCAGCTGGGACCGCGCTACGCGGCCAAGCAGTTCGCACGGCACGGCGCAGCCTCCGGAGTCGCCGCGGGTTCATTGTGGCCGTCGCGGGAGCAGCTGCGCGAGCTGGAGGCCGAAGAGCGCGAGTGGTGCCCCAGCCTAGCGGATATGCAGGAGTCGCTGCGTGAGCAGCGGCTGGCCGAGGAGCAGAAGCGTCTAGCCAGGTGTGTGCGTGCGTTGGAGTCGCCCTCCACTCCCCTGTGAATGATCTGGACCCCAACAGGTGCCTGGTCCATCGGGCGTCTGTTACGGAGTCTGCGTGCTGTAGATTTATGTGCATGCTCTCCTAGTCGCCAAACAGACTTCCCCGTTGTTCATTCAACAGCAAGTCTTAACTGAGCACATAACCGTGGGCAAGGCCCTGCCCCAGGATCACAGGACCGTTCGGAAGATAAAACAGGGTGAAAGAGTGAATTGGGGAGGGCAATTTCGGTTTAAGGAGACCCTAGGTGGTGCAATCTGTTAAGCGCTCCACTACTAGCCAAAAGGTTGGTGATTTGAACCCACCCAGAGGAACCTGGGAAGACTGGCCCGGCAGTCTGCATCCGGAAGGTCACGGCCTTGATAATCCTATGTAGCAGTTCTACTCTGCCTGCATACATGAGGTTACCATGAGTCGGAATTAACTCAACAGCAACTAACGACAGTAACTTTGGTTTGGGAGGCCTCAGGCCTGAGGTAATACTTTGGCAGAGATCTAAATGACTAGAGACAGTCATGGGGAGATCTTGGGAGAGTTCCCAATAGACAACAGTCGGTGCAAAGGCCCTGAGGTAGGAACATCCCTAAGGAACAGCGAGGCGGCCAGTGTGGCTGAAGCAGGAGGAGGGAGGGGGAAAGTAGGAGGAGACTAGGACCAGGTGTTAAAGGGGGCATGTTCTGCAGGACTTCGTGGGCTGCAGGGAGGACCCGGACTTTTTTACTCAGAGTGTGATGGGAGCCATGGAGGGTTCTGAGAAGAGGAGGGACATGATCTGACCCAGGTGTTCACAGCACCCTTTGGCCACTGTGGTGGGACAAAATTGTACGGGGCTAGAGCTGCAGCAGGAAGCTGCTGGGAGTCATACTGCTGTCCTGGAATCAAGGGCAGAGGACAGATTTGGGAAGTGTTTTGGAGGCAGGTCTGAAGGATTGGACTTGAAGGAAGACCAGGGGCACTGCCACTTCTGTGAGGAGGTGGGCAGTCTGCATAAGCCAGATTGGGGAAGCAGGTCAACTGTGGTACTGATGTTGAACATTCTTGTCCTCATGATACCCTAAGAGGGAGGATCACCCTCATTTTAGAGATGAAAAAACAGGGCTAGAGAGATGGAGTCTCTTGTCCAGGGTCACCCAGGCAGAGAATGGTGGAGCTGGGATGTGAACCCGGGCCTCCCATCTCTGCCCCTCCTCAGCTGCATGACCTGGCTTCAGTTCTTTCAGAACCAGTTTTCTGATTCTTAAAATGGGACTGTCAGTGGGACCTACCACCACCTCATCAGGTTGGAAAATGTCGTTTCTTATTTTCACTCGTGTGCCTACAAAACACACTCAGTGATGACTGCTGAATGAAGAGGTGAGCTTATCTGTGGAAACGGCCTGCGCTGATGGCTCAGTGAATGCTGAACTGACATGGGGGTGGCCCACCCACGAACTTGACACCACACAGCATGTTAGTTTCTCTCTCCTGTTTGTTTCTTCACTTGTCAAAATTTTTCCTGATAGTTAAGTTAATGGCAACAACTAAGTCCTTCCTCATTTTTCATGGGCCACAGGCCTGGAGATGGGATGTGGGTGGTTGGGCTCTGCTCTGGCTGGGTGAGGGTGCCCACACCACTCACCTTCCTTCCCCCACAGGGAGGAGCTCATCGCAGAGCGCATGGCCAAGATGCCACAGATGATTGAGGACTGGCGGCGGCAGCAGCGGGAGCGCTGGGAGAAGGCGCAGGTGGACAAGGAGCGGCGGGCACGGCTACAGGCTGAGGCCCAGGAGCGCCTAGGCTACCATGTGGACCCGCGGAGCACCCGCTTCCAGGAGCTGCTGCAGGACATGGAGAAGCAGCAGCGCAAGCGCCTCAAGGAAGAGAAACAAAGACAGAAGAAGGAGGCACGAGCTGCTGCAGTGGCCACCGCTGCCATCCAGGACCCAGCTACCTCCTAGGCACCCAGCTCCTGAGGAGGCTGTGTCCCCCAATAAAGCCTGTTGCCTCAGTGGCCCCCAGGAGAGTTTTGTGCTAGGTCCTCCTTCAAGGTGCCCCTTGGTTCCTTCCCCAACACCTGGGGCCAGGAATCACCCCACCCAGCTCTGCTCACATGGATGGATGGATGGGGCCTCTAGGCCATGCCGACTCACTAGGGCTACTGGGCGAAGAAAAGGGGATGCAATGGGGAAATAATGGAGGAACAGATGGCAGAGGAGAGGAAGGCTTCTGTTTACTAACATTCATCTCCAATAATTAGCCAATTACCAGAGGGGCAGTGCAGCAGAAACAGACTGTGGTGATGATGGTGGGGGGTGGGGAGAAGCAGCCCTTCCAAGGCTTAGCTGGGGCCTGTTGCTGGGGAATGAGACAGCTTCAAGGGGAGAGGAGACACTGGGAGCCAGGTCTGCAGGGCTTACAGGTCTCCTTTCTGTGTGTCTTCACCTTGCCCCCAGACCCAGACAAGCTGGAGCAGGGAGTCCCAGCAGGCAGACCACAGGGCTAGTCTTGAAAACTTTATTCACTTCAAAACCTTTATCATAGAGACATGGTTCTGTTCTTTTTAGAGGGGGGATGTAGCCCCAGCTTCCACAGTGGCTCTGATGTTTCCCCTTCCCCAGACAGAACAAACTGCGCCTCCTCCCCAGCAAAGGGCTAGAGTGAGGTGGCCAAGGCTAGATCGGGGCGGGGGGAGGGAGACACACAGCAACTTAGGCACCTGAGTGCCACCCCAGATGGAAAAATCTGGGCCACTCCAATGGAGGATCAAAGTTTGGGCTCCAGCTTCCCCTTAGCCTGGAGCGGGGGTGGGGGGAGGCAAGCAGCCGCCTCTCCATCTGGCTGCAGGAAACTGGGACACGGGCCAAGAGAGGCCCATCTGCTGCCTCCCAGTCATGCCAGCTCCATTGAACAGGCGGGGCTGGGGTTGGGGGTTGGAGGACAGCTGTCTAGCCTGGGTCTTCTCAGGCTGAGATGGGAGTGGGGACACTTTAGGAGGACAGGAAATTGAGGGAGTTTTTTTTTTTTTGGTTTTTGATTTTTTTCCACTTCTTAAATAAACATGAATATATATATATATATTTTTTCTTTTATAAAACTTTTGTGGAAGGCGGGGAGGGCGGGACGGTGGGCAGCCTGGTTTCCCTGCATCATTCGTCGTCAAAGTTCTGACTCAGGAGGAAGTTGGCAGCCAAGTTCTCGTTTTTTTCACAGGCGAAGTAGGCCTGGATTACCAGGCTCTCTGGAAAGCCAAGGGCCTTCAACTGTAGGAAGACAGGCACGTGTCGGGGGTGGTGAGACAAGCCCCACCAACCAGTGGGGTCCACCTCAGCCAGGCCTCTTACCCTCTCTATGGCTTCTTTCTCCTGCGGTGTCACCTGGATGTAGTTCATCTGTGGGGCTTCCTCGCCTATGGCACCCACCTCACCCTCCACGTCTGAGATGTCTGCCAGCTCCCCGGGGGGCTCATTCAACATCTGGATGAACTGCTCCTGGTGCCGGCTAATTTGCTGTGGGAGAGGGAGGGGAAAGGATGATGACCCACAGCCCAAGTCCCCATCACGGCCCTTGTTTTTTCATTCACACAACAAATATTTAGAGGGTGCCTATGGCCAAGCACTGGCAACCCAGCAGGGAACGTGGACCCTGTCCTGGTGGAGCTGATGGTCCAGGGCCACAAGCAAGTAAATGGGCCAATCACAGACCCACTGAGGGCTGGAACAGGGTACTGGGAGGGGAGGGAGGTGTTTACTCCAGGCAGAGCAAACAAGTGCAAGGACTGGAGGTGGGGATGCATTTGGCAAACCCAAGAAACAGAAGACCACATAGCACGTAACACATAAATGGGGAAAAAAGAGGCAGAAACCAGATCTGACTTATTCTGTGTAATGGGAAGCAACATCTGAGATAGTTCAACAAGCAAAGACCTTTCAGAAATATTAACTCATCTAGGTGTTGGTACCTGCGGTTCTGACACAATTCTGTTTTGTGTACATTTAACAATTTTCACATTACGGGAAAAGGTGGTTTTTAAATTATCTGACTTCTGAACGGAGAGTGAACTGTGGGGAACTGTACAGAACCGGGGGCCTGGGAAGACATTGCCCGGGGTTCAGGTAAAGAGAGGAGGGGTATCCATGGAGATGCAGCATGGGGTGGGCTGATCAACATGTTCTCGAAGGAGAGCAAATGGACAGGTAGCGGACTGCAAGAGGCCCTGGGGACCTGGGGCTGTAGCAACCTCAGCACTGGGGGAGAAAAGGCAGTGCAGGGGAGGGGGTGGGTAGCCTGCACTGGTTCTGCTAAAGTCTGAAACACCTAGAAAGCACTTTCACAGAAACGGCAAGTCAGCCACGATTGAGTGTGGCATTCCACAGAGATCTGGGCTGATTGCATCATTTGGGGGTCAACACAGATTAAAGGCCCCAGGACACCATGAGTGGAGGACTGAGTGCAAGTTAAGGGCAGAGGTGTGCAGCATCTAGAGGGGTGAGAGCAGGAGGAGCCAGCATGAGACTGAGAAGTGTGAAGAAAAGCAGCCACCTGCAAGGTCCTGAGCCAGAAGCCCCTGGAGGAACTGTCCCACTCCTCCAAGCTTCTTCAGGACTCTGCTCGTCCAGGGTGTCACTGGCCCCTCTGCCTAGGGTCTTGCTAAGCACATTGGCCCCAGAGCCAGCTAGAACACAGCTGTCCTGTGTTCCACCATGCAATCCTACAGATGTTTATGAGCACCTGCTGTATACAGAGCCAAGCCAGAACCAAAGAGTCAGAAGGCAGAACACAGAACTCAGAAGCTAGAGGCACACACTCCACCAGCTTCATGAATCTGGATGACCGACAGCCTAGTCCAACCCTCTGACGTTTTCCTGGGGTGGGGAGCATGATGATGACACAGGCTGATTGGAAGAATTACATGAGACCGTGTAGGTCAACAAGTCACAGGGAACAGAGAAGAACTATCATTAGTCCTGCTGTCTAGATGCAGAGCAACTCCTACATACTATGCGAGGCCAGACTTGCTCCTCAGGGCTGTGGTGCCCACAGGGGAAGAGAGATGGTGCCTGCCCTAGCTCCCCCCACTCCCAGGGCCGCACCTGCAAGAGCTGAGGGTTCTCCTGGCCCAACTGCTGGAGCAGGGCAGGCAGCAGCGCTGGGTTTTGCTGAATCACCTGCCGCATGTTCTGGAACTGGGGCTGGTCCCGCAGGAACTCCAGGGGGTTCTCTCCTACTGGCAGTTGGAGGCGGTGCGGTCAGACACCATGCAGGACTCCCAGGAGCATGGGGGTTCACATGCCCTAAGAGCAAACACCCCATGTGCACACTAACACCCCATGTGCACACTTCCCAGCCCGCTCACCTGCTTCTGTGGCCGGCTGCTCGGATACCTGACTCTCTTGAACGGAGCTGTGCTCTGGCTCAGGGCTCCCAGGAATTCCCTGTGAGAGATCCTTTTTAGTGCTAATGCAAAGACCTCCTACTGCCCCCAGGTTTCACGCCCAGCCCTGGCAGGAGAACCTCCTTCCCAAGTCTACCCCACCACTCAAGTCCCGCCTTCTACAGGAAGCCTTTCCTGGCTAGAACCACCACCCAAAGTCTTCTGGGGACAGGTTTTGTCTCCCTAAGTGCCTATCAGGGCAGCAAGTCTCTGGGATGCTCTCCAAAGCCTCCCCGGGGAGGCAGCAGCCCCATCTCACCGTGAGTAGATATTCCACAGCGCGGTGGGGATTGTTGTAGCTGGCTCTCAGGGCAGCCACCACCCGTTCCCGCTCATAGCCCATGGACATGATCTCCGTCAGCATCGTTTCATACTCAGAGCCAGTCACTGTGGAGAAAGAAGCAAGGCCTGGGTCACCAGAGAGAGAGAAGGGCAGCACCCAGGCCTTCCCACACCCAGATAAGGCCCAGTTGATGGCTGGGGCACCCCATCACCTCCACCCGAGGGGCCACCCACCCACCTAGTGTGGAGGCTGCGTCTTCCTCTCGCCCGCTGCTACCTGAAGAGGGAACAGAGCTGCAAATTCAAGAGAGAGAAATCGGACCCTGGCTTCTGGTGGCTTTCCCTCCTCCCAAGTGCATGAGACCACACACGTGGGCACTGGAATGTGCTGGGAGAACAGAACCCGAGCTGGAACCACCCCCTGCCTTACCCTGACACGGACTCCGGGGACATCGTGGGGACTGATTCCTCTGATGGGCTCTTGTCCTCTCTGGCAGTAGGTGGGGGATGAGACATGCCTGAGGCAGGGGCTGGTGGGAAGGATGTGGAGGACTCCGGGGCAGCAGTGGGTGAGGTCTCTGGGGGTGCTGAGGTGCCTGAGCCAGCTTTGGCCTGTGGTAGCCAAGAAAAGAAAACCGCGTTAGCACCCCTATCGAGCCCCAACGTGCCACCTTGTCACGGCCCCACCCTGCTCATGGCTAATCTGTCCTGGGCACATGGGCTCTTAGCCAACTCCACAGCAAATCCACCCACCCTCCCAGCCAGCACACTTCACCAACCTTGGTCACCATGACAACCACAAAGTTCTTCTCATCTATGCGATAGTCCCTGATGGGGACGTCATCACTCAGGATCTTGCCGGCATAAATGAGCTTCTGTCCAGCCACAGGGAAGGCATCACGACCTTTCTCAGCTTCTATCTTCTCCTTTAGTACCTTCACCTGAAGGGATGGGTACAGAGCCATTGCAAACCCCCCAAGAGTCCCTCTTCTCATCCAGTTTGGGGGAGCAGCTGCAAGCCCTCATGGCAGAAAGGCTAAGCCTCGTAGTCACACGTGCTAGATGTGAATCTGTGGAACCATCCCACCATTCAACAGAACATTTACTGAGTGCCTATTATGTGCCAGGTACTGTTTCAGGCACTGAAGACGCAGGAGGGAATAAAACCCAACACAAATCCCTGCTCTCGTGGAGATGACACTAGTGTGGGGAGAAAAAAAAAACAACATTTATTTCAGTGATACAAAGTATGAGAAAAAATAAAATAGAATAGAGAAGAAGGAGGAGGATCCCCCATTCCATACTGCTGACCTTGGGCAGTAACAGTGGCCAATATTTACTAACAGCATCCTACCATTGCTACTGTTATTCTGAATATGTACATTACCACACTTAAGCCTTGTGAAGCCATGCGAAAGAGGTATCGTTAACCTAACTTTATATTTCATAAAACAGAGACACAGGAAAATTAAATCACTTGCCCAAAGTCAAACGGAGCTGGTCAAAAAACCCGAGTCTGTCTTCTTTTCTATAAAAAAGTGGATTTCAATGTCTTCCTCATGGGGTGGCTGTGCAAAAAGTACCAAGTACACAGATAACACAATATGTTTAAGTCCTAAACTCCTTCCAACTAAAAAGACAGCGGAGTGTTCAGGCCATGTGCTCTAACACCAGGCAAAACGGAATTTGAATCCCAGCTCTGCCACTTGTTAATCGGACTGTAGTAAAAAAGGGAAAATCAGGCTTCCCAAAAAACAGGCCTGTTTTGCAAACGTAGTGAGACAAGGGCACCAAAAAGCTCAAACAAGTAGTAGTAAATAAACGGCCAACAAACACCGACTACTAAAACTATTACGATTGCGACCGTTTATTATCATTATCATCATCGTCGCTGTCATCACTCGGCATCTCCCGGTCACCATTCCCAGATTCGGCCGTCAACATCCCGAGAAGCAGCCTGCAAAGTCGGGAACGCGGGAGCCCCCGCCCTGGAGAGCGCGGCCCCGCCAGGAATCCAAGCCTGCGGCTTCCGCGCCCCACGAGAGCGCTGACATTAGAGCCGGGGCCTGGCCCTGAGACCCGCCCAGGAGCGCTGGCCGAGCCGCCGGGGGCTGGGACGGGGACCATGGGGGAGATCCCAGGAGGTCCGGCAAATAGGGAGAGAGCAGGGCCCGACCCGCACCGACGTCTCTGCCCCTTTCGCCGGGATCCTGGCATCCCCACCCCCACCCTACCCCGGGCACCCGTCGCTCCCGCCCCCGGGCCCCTGCCCGGCCCGCACCGTCTCGTCAGGCTCCATGCGGATTTTGAAAGTCTGCTGCTGCAGCGTTTTGAGCGTGATGGTGACGGCCATGGCGGGGCCCGAGCGACGGAGCCTGCCCCGGGATCCTCACACAACATGCAACTCACGCCGACGCCATCTTAGCGCTCAGCCGCGCCGCGCGCAGACCGCTTCCGGGGCAAATGGTGCGCGCGCCGGCAGCCAGCGCACGTGACCGGCGCGTAACCCTTAGCCTTCCTGGGCATGCGCAGCAGCGAGCCCTCCGACCAGGCATGCGCAAATTATCTCCCCTCTAAGCTGGGGGTCGCGGGGGGGACGGCTACTGGCACCTCGCGCGCACCTGTCACGTGGCTTCCTGCGAGTGACGCCACGCCCGTTGGCGGTGACGTCATGCGGCCACAAAATGGCCCCGGATGCCTCCCGCTTCCACGCCTAAATGACTTAAAAAATTATTTTTGGTGACGTTGAACAAATTTTTTCATGTACTTACATACGTTTGTATTTCTTTTGTGAAATCTTTTCATATTTTTGCCCGTTTAAGTGAGCGTTATATTATTCTGGCCGGGCCACTCTGTGGAGCCTTGAATGTGCAAACTACTCAGAACTGGAAAGGATACCTGGAAGGTCACCAACAATTTAAAAAAACTCATTTGGGCGTGGTCTAACAGCGGGAGCACTGGAAAGATTTTATGGTTTCACTCATTTATTCCTGAAGGTGATGATTTTTGGGGTCTCCCACCACTGCTGGTACTTGTCCAACCACTTTGGTCACCGTATCCTGGGTCTGACCGCAAAAACATTTAATGAAGACGTTAATTTAAAAGGCTTCCTTCAAGTAAATAGCCAGAGCGCATACAAAGGAATGGAAGCACGAAGGAGGCAAGTGGAGGGAACAAGGGGCGTTAGTTTGCCATCATGAAGCAGGTGCTTTGAGAGACTGGATGGCTTGGATGAGCAGGCTTGATTCCCTAGTTAAAAGCATGGACACTGGAGGCCTAGAGGCCAGAGAGGCAGCTGTGGCAACATAGCCCAGGCCTTTCCCCAAGTGACCATCATTATCTGCCTCCAAACCTGCTCCTCTCACCGTTCCCATCCAACAAATTGCCCAAGCCAGGCACTGGACAGTCTGATGTGTCATCACCCACTGCCTAACTGTAACCGAGTCCTGCTGCCTCTCTCCACTCCATGCCCTGAGACTAGAAACCTCCACCAGCACTGGCCAGGACCAGTTGACAGCTTCTTACCCTCTCCTCAAACAAGGGACACCAGCTCCCCCCATCATCCAGCCTACTCACTGGGCTTTCACTATCCTGCCATAGGCAGCTTCATAGACCTCCACCTCTGCCATCTCTGCACTAACTCAACCCCTCTTTTCCCTCAAGGAGTTCAAATCCCATCATGGCCACTGAAGACCACAGGAACTTGGGGTTCCTTGTGCTTGAACCTATTTCCTTGACTGTAAAAGGAAACAACTTTTAACACTAGCTGGTATTAAAAAAATGTTTGAAAGCATTCAACAGCCATGTAATCTTGCTCCTCACTAGGTAATATGAACAAATAAATAGCTCACTGTACAAAGTAAACCATGAGACAAAGTTGAGGTGTGGATTGAAATCCCTACCCCCACCACTTAAGTTCTGTGCCTCAGTCTCCTCACAATCAAATCAATTGGGTAACAGAACCAACAGTTAATAATACATGGAATAGTATTAAGTTACCCTCCCTCTGATTTGGGCTCACAAGACAAGCAATGGCCTTTTTAACCTTGTGGGACGACACTCAGCCAACTCTTCAGCAGCTGAAAAATGAAAATTCAGAGAGCCCACCCCCTGAAAAAAAGGCCACCTTTGGTTCCCTAATGTCCATCCTCCCCCCAGAAGGAGACACAGGAGGAAGACACAAAACTTAATTTAATAGAAATTTTGCTTGTAGTTCTTACATTCTCAGTATGAGCCGAGCTGGAACCTGCTGCCCCACACAGAAGTGGCCCAGTCCTAGGAGTAGGGAGAAAGGGGGGGCAGAGCTCAGGCCCTAACAGCCCCATTCTTTCTCAGTGCTGGGGGACCGGGACGCCACCCCCTCCTCCTGCCCCCTTGAGCTCCAGGAAGGAGAGCAGATGGAATCTCAGGCCTGGGCTTCACACCCCCTGCCCCTGGGGTGGAGAGGAACCAAGGGATTCGCAGAGAGGACAGAAGAAAGAAAAGATGTCGATCAAGAAAGATGAGAGCTAGGGGTGAGGGCTGAGGAAGAATCAAAGACAAAAACACCAGTTTTTTTTTAAAAAAAAAAACAAAGGGAAGGGGGGACAAAACCAAAATCCATCCCAAATCTGAACCCGCCTGGAAAAAAATGAAAGTTCTCCAGTCTCATAGAGACATTATTTGGCGCGGCCGGCTCTGTGGCAGGAGCGCTCAGGCCTCAGTCCAGCCCTGGAGGCAGGCAGCATGGCCTCTACAGCTCATCCTTGGCCTGGCCCACATCTTCCTCCTCATCCTCCTCCTTGTCCTCTTCATCCTCGTCATCCTCATCTTTGTCCTCCTCTTCCTCCTTGTCTTCTGCCGCCTCCTCCTCCTTGCGTTTCTTGTCCTCTTCCTCCTCCTTTAGCCTCTGCTCTTCATCCTGCTTGTCCTTCATGAGCTTTTCTGAAGCCTGCAGACACAAACCATACACCTCAGAGCCTGACTCCCACCTCCCAGCCCTGCCCACCCCCATACCCAGACCTGGGGCCAGCCCCACCTTCGTGACACCCCATGTCTCATTGCCAAACTCCTCAGCATAAGCCTCGTCGTTGGTGATGAGGAAGTTGTCAAAGATGGTACCAGACTTGACCTGAGGGTGAGTGGGAGAGAGAGGTGGTCAGAGATGACACCTGATGTCCCTAGCCTTAGACAGGACTCACATCTGTGTTCCTATATTTATTATACACTGCCTCAGTCTCCACGTCTTCATAAAAAGAATAATGTTTCAGTTAAGAACAGACAAGAACTACAGGCCACCCCAGCTCTGCTACTTCTCAGCTGTCTGCCTCAATTTCCTCATCTGTAAAACGTGGATTCTCTCACAGTTATCAAATACTTACTATGTGTACCAAATACTGTTCCAGGCAGAATATACATCAGTGAACAAACCAACAGACAAAAACTCAGAACTAGAAATTGCAATTTCTAATGCGGTTATATAACTGTCTTAATACGTTGGGGGAACTAAATCAGTTGATTCAATTAAATGAGTTGATTCATATAAAGGTGTTTGAAAAAGTACTCTCTAGAAAACAGTCCAGGAAATACTTCAAGAGCAGAAAAAGCATCATTTGGCAGTTAGACCTGCCTGCATTTGAATCCTACCCCCTCTGCTCCTTCTCTCCTGGGTTAAGATTCTGTCCCCTCTCCCCCCAGGACCCTCCTTCCTTCTCCCACTGTGTCTCACCTGCCAGAGATCTAGGCCCAGCACTGCAAAGCTGTCATAGGAGTAGATGTTAGCATCAGGGGAGTACTCAGGGTTGTCGATCTCCGGGTGGATCCACTTGCCTTTGTAATCTGGGTTGTCGATCTGCCGGGGCTTCCACTCGCCCTGCGGAGGAAGAGGAACCCAGATGGTGGGCAAAGTCCAGTGCCCTCCCCACCATGCACCCTAGCCCTGCTCAAAACCCCAAGCCCACCTTGTACTCGGGGTTCTGAATCACAGGTGGTTCCCACTCTCCATCCATCTCCTCATCCCAATCCTCTGGTTTCTTGGCATCAGGGTCAGGGATGTGCTCGGGCTTGTCCCAGTCCTGGGAGTACATGACGAGATCAGAGTTAGCTGGGCTGTCTGTCCCTCCATACCCTCCACAGTGGACAGCCCTTGCCCAAGCACCAACCTCAGGCTTGGAGTCTGTGGGGTCATCAATCTTGGCCCGCTCATCCCAGTCTTCAGGCTTGGCAGCATCGGGATCCTTTATTTTCTTGGGTGGCAGAAAGTCCCAGTCGTCTTCTAAGGAGCCTGACTCTACCTGGCTGTTGTCAATCTTCACCTCATAAGTGTTGTCCGGCCTCACGATCAGAGTGTACAGGTGTGTGAATTCATCATCCTGAAGAGGGCGGGAGGTGAGTGGCCCCACCCACCTAGCTGGCCTCAAAGTCTCCCTGGAAGCCCTCTGCCACCACCCCCAGACACACCTTGCAACGGATGTCCTTGTTAATCAGCACGTTCTTCCTCTTGTAGTTGAAGATAACATGAACTTTCTTAGTGCCAGGGCCACAGATGTCAGGGCCTAGGTGGAAAACAGATTCAGTTAGAACCAAACGCTGCCCACTACCAGGAGCTCCCACCCCTCTTTGCAAAACACTTTGTTCTTAAAATCGGTCTATTAGGAAGCAGAGCAGATTCAGACCAACCCTATCTCTAAGGAACTATGAGTACAGACTTAAGTTAAAAAATTATCAAAGTAGAACTTAATGTCTTCACTTGTAAAACGGGAAAACAGCTACTAAAAACAACACAAACAGTTGTAAATTAGCAACTTAAAGACAATAAACCGCAGCTAACTATGCCTATTCCTTTAGCTTCCCCACCATGAAAACAGGCGACAGTTAAGTTCTTCTGTACTCTCAGGACCACCCTTCACTGGTTGAAGAACCCATAGGGTTTCAGTCTCTCAAAGGAAAGGAACAGAAGTCAGCGCTGGGCAGGGCCCCTCACCAAACATGATGTTGTATTCGGAGTCCCCATGCATGTCTGTCTGGTCCAAACCCTCAGGAAACAACTTCACATAACCGCCCCCACAGTCAATGTTCTGCTCGTGCTTCACAGTAAACTGCACCACCAGCGTCTTGTCCTTGTTGCTGAAGGGCTCGAATCTCGCCGACAGGGCGTAGAAGCGGGCGTCCTGGCTCGTCTGCAGCCCTGGCACAGGACAGTGATGAGGTCACAGCTAGGCCACAACCCCCGGTACCCTAGGCTTCCAGAATACAAACAACTCCTTTCCTCTGCTTACCCTGCTCCTGGGGATGCCCAAGTTCCGTATGGTTACTAGAGCTTCCGCCAGCAAGTCCTCTCAGATCTGGGCATCCACCCGCGGGCTCTTACCTTTATCTTTCTCCTGGTCACCATAGAACTTGCCAGAACTCAAAACGAATTTGCCAAAATCCGACTTGTGTTTGGATTCGATCCAGCGGTCGGTCCACCCATCTAAGCGGTCAGAGAAGCAGGTCAGGGTAACCGCACTAACCCCACCCCGCAACATCCGCCGGGGGCCACAAGCTACTTGGAACAAGTAAGGAAATTTTCCCTTGACATCCCCCACCCTAACCTCTAGTTTGACACCTCAGGCGAAGGCTAACCCCTGCCGCAAGAGGCAGCTGCGCCCTCTGCGCTCCCCAGGAACGCAGAAAGAGAGATCGCCCGCGGCTCTGGTCCCTGAGGGCCACAGTTTTGGGCCTCTGAGTGATAATTAAAGACGACAACGCAGATCCGAGCCGGGGACAGGCCGCGTCGTTGAGGCAGCCTCAGGAGGGGACCAGGCATTACCTCCGTCCAGAAACTGCTCCTTGAAGTACACGATGGGCTCAGCGGCGGCCAAGCCGAGAAGGCCGAGCAGCAGCGGCACGGGTAGCAGCATGGCGGGCCGAGGGGGCGGTGACGCGCGGGCCCTTTAAGACACTACCCGGGTAGCAGCTCTGCAGGATAGGACCGACGCCGTCGGCGGCCGTGTTGTTTTATACCCACCCGCCTCTCAAACCAACCTGGCCCGGCCTTTGCGCCCGCCCTCCGCGCTTTATTATTGGTCTGCGGCCACGGCCGTCCCTTTCCATTGGACTCTTGCCGGGTCAGCATATTAGGCTGTGCCTCGGAACGCTGGGTTCCCAGATGGCCGATTTCTATTGGCCCCGCCGCTGGCCAATGAAGGTCGACCACGCGTTGTGGGGGACGCCCACCGGTGGGGCGGGGGCCGCGAGCCCGTCTGTCCAGGTCATGTGACCAGCCCTCAGCCCAGCCGCTTTCTCGCCGCGCGCAGTGCTCCACTTCAGGGCGTTTAAAGAACCCGCGCGAGAGCAGGTGTCACTGAACGGGGCCGGTATGCTGCCCCAGCCTCGCCCTTTCCTATCCCCTGTGCGTGGAAGGGTGAGCACGGTCTTTCCGACTTTCCAAGCCACTGAACTTTATACCCTGCATTTGAGGAACCCAACCCTGACAGTGGGCTCCCCCTGGCCCCAGAATGGGGCAGAGCTCAGGCGCTGGGGCCCTAGGGCTTTCCTGCACCCCGGTGTCAGGGCTACAGCCTTGCAAGCCAAGCCTGTGGGTGCCAGCTCTCCTCCCTACGGCCTTCAGTGCCCTGGCAGACTGTCAGACTGGTGCTTTGTGACCTGGGGCAAGTCACTTAGCCTCTCTGAAATCACAGGAGTTCCTGAGAGGCCAAGAGGGACGCCCCTGGGCAGCTCCTGCCTGTCAGAAATGCTTTCAAAGCATTTAGAGGTGTACTGGGACAGAGAGAAGGAAGCCCAGAAGGCTCAAAGTTGTGGCTCCTAGAGTGAAGATAGAGTTGTTCCCTTAGTTGCAGCCCCCCTATTGCTCCCCCCCTCAGCCTGTAAATGAAAAGGGTCGCTGTCTTGTGGTCTCCCACAAACCGTTTAGCTTTTGCAATTAAACGGCTAAGGGCAAGAGGGCAGGGGGCCCGTTGGAGAGGAAAAAGAGGGGCAGACGGTAGGAAAGATAAGGTCCAAAGGAAAAGGGCAGGACCCCTGGATCTAGAGTGTTCTTCTGAAGCCATGGGCATGTGACGATACCAGCTCCCTGCCCCCAGGCTGCAGAGAGGAGGAAGGAGGACTAGGGGTTTTCCAATCTCCAGCATAGAGGCCCTGGACCTGGGAATGAGGGAGTGGACTGTGGAAAGGGGAGAGGTGGGGAATCCTGGGACAAGGGCCTGGAGGGGATGCTTTTCCTTTAGTAGTGAGGACCCAAGAAAGGAAAGAAAGAAAGGTTTTGAAGAAATACGGGTGCTGCCCCTTTCCTCAGTCAGTATCCTCTATCACCAGCAGGAGCAGATTAACCAGTAAAGTAAGGTACACATGGAGCCCTGGTGGTGCTATGGTTAAGAGCTATGGCTGCTAACCAAAAGGTCAGCGGTTCTGATCCATCAGCCACTTTTTGGAAACTCCTGTGGGGCAGTTCTACTCTGTCCTTTAGGGCCGCTGTGAGTTGGAATCGACTCACAGTAACAGGTAACGTACACGCAGGCTTATAGTAAAAACAATATATGCGCAGGCATACCTGTGTTTATGTATTAATCTGTAGGGCACAATGGTTTCAAGTCAAATTGTGCACTACAGATTAGTAAATAAGCACAAGTAAACCCGTGAGTATCTTGCTTATTGAGTAATCCATCCCTGACACCAGCCTGGCCCCTCACAAGGAGTCCCAAGTCTGGGGTGACTACCTCAGGCCTACCATCCCTCTCCTCAGTGTCCTGGACAGAAAATGGGCTTGTGCTTCCTGCCTGAGGGTAGACTCTGTGCCTTTCTTGTTCTCCTCACTATCTCCCAGTGTTTACTGCAATACCTGGCAAAGAACATGCTTAAAAATGACTTGCTGCAGGACACAAGGAATGAAAGACTCTTGTGAGAGCTAAATAAAAACAGGGAGAAGTGCTTGGAAACTGAGTAGAGAAAGGACTTTGAGGGACATATCCTAAATTTTTATCAGGATCTCCCTGACATCTGAGGCAAGTGGGTCAGGATTGGGGGATATGAGTATCCCCATTTTACAGACTCAAGTAATAACTGATAGTCGAATGTGTGACCGCTCAGAACAGTGCCTAACACATGGTCCACACTTGATTAGTATTAAGTTACTGCATACGTGTGTGTGCAGTATTTCACTTAATTTTCACAATAAACCTGGGCTCTTATCTCCACCAGGTAAGGAAACCAAGGCACAGAAAGATTAAGCAATTTGACTGAGTGACATAAATGGATGAGCTGGAATTTGAATCTGCCTGCACTGTCTAATACAGTCTCGTGTGACTACTGTCCCAGTAAAATGTGGCTAGTCCAAACTAAGATATGCTGTAAGTGTAAAATACACATCAAATTTCAAAGAGTTAATATAAAAAGAATGTAAAATATCTCGGTAACTTTTAATTGAATATACCTTAAAATAATAATAATCTGGATGGATTAAGTAAGATGTTAAAATTAATGGTACCAGTTTCTTTTTTTTTTTAACACTGCCACTAGAAAATTTAAAATTATATTTGTGTTTTGCATTACATTTCGGTAGGACAGTGATGATCTAGACTATGCATTAGTGTTCGAACCCACCAGCAGCTCCATGGGAGAAAGGTGTGGCAGTCTGCTTCCATAAAGACTGCAGCCTTGGAAACCCTAGGAGGCAGTTCTCCTCTGTCCTATGGGGTTGCTATGAATTGGAATTGACCCAAGGGAACAGGTTATGTTCGGTTTGGTTTGACATTGATCTTGGAGCATGGAGGATTGGAATCTAGAGGGTTTATCATTTCTAACCCCAACTCCAGGAACTCACTGTAGAACCTTGGGCAAATCATTATCCTCTGAGACTGTTTTCTCATCTGTGAAATGAGAATTGTATCAGTATCTACATCATAGGGTTTTAAGGAGAAATGAAATAATACACATGAAGTACTTAGTACTGGGCTAGGCACACAGAAGGTAGTCTTACCTCGGTTACCTACTACTTTGAGTATTATTTTTAGTCAAGTCCCTCCCTCCTCTGTAAATGGGTATAGCCCCTATCCAGCCTCTCTTTGAAAGTTTAAAAGTAACTGACACCAGCAGAGCGGTCATCTCTGAAGCCCACCACCCACCGGCCTTTCCAGTGCAAGAAAAAATCCAGAAGGGCAAAAGATACCCAGGCCTAGAGAGGGTGCAGTCCAAGGTCACACAGACCGCTGGAGGTAGGGCTGGATAAAAGCCCAAAACGACGCCGTGCTTCTGACCTTGAGGTCACCAATTTGACTCTCTGGTCAACCAGACGCTATGGTCGAGCCAAGGCGGAGATGGGGACAGAGTCCCCTGGCTAAACTGACACACTCAAGATGGCGTCTCTTTGAGCCCCGCACGACTGCTTTGCCACGTTCAAGATGGCGTCACAAGCTCCAGGGGCAGGTTCCGGTTCCGGTTTCTCTGGCCCGGCTGGAGCACGCACAGCGTGGTGGGAGCAGCCATGGCGGACAGTGCAGTAGCGGAGCTGCTGCTGAGGCGGCTGGAGACGGCCGATGGAGGCCTGGACAGCGCGGAGCTAGCAGCCGAGCTGGGCGTGGAGCACCAGGCCATGGTGGGCGCCGTAAAGAGCCTGCAGGCGCTGGGCGAGGTGAGCCGGGGCTGTGATGCCGGACCCCTGCACCTATGTACCTACTGTGGCTTGCCAGGCGGGCTGTGCCTCCAGGCCAAACCACCCTCAGGCCTGAGTAGGGTGTGATTGTATGTTATGTATGTACAGCCCGGGGTGTGCAGGCGGGGGTCTGGAAGGAGTGAGGACCTGGGCTAACTGACATTCATTCATACAGCAAGCGTCCATTGAGGCATGTTTGGCGTGGGAGGTACGATTTTGGACAAAATGCGATCGCTGCCATCATGAAGGTTGCAGTTTAATGAGAGAGGTGCTCAAGTGACCAGAGTGGTGGGGGAAGCACAGGGAACCCAGAGGTGACAGCTGACTCAGCCTTATGGGTCAGGGAGGCTCCTGGAGGAGGTGGCAGCTGGGTCAGGTCTCTGCACTGAGAATAAAAGCCATAGCACTTTAGAGTCAATGGGAGGGGGCAGGCAGGTGGTTGGGGAGAGCAGCAGAGCCAGAATTCTCGAGGCCTTTTGGATCTTTATCTCCTAGGGGTACTGGGGAGCCATGGCAGGAGCTGAAGCCAGGAAGACATGCAGGCAGCCGGCTTTGGGGCTGTCAACGTCACCTTTGGGAAGGATATGCAGGGCAGGACTGGAAGTGAGAGGACAGGGGCAGAGTCTGGCACATCCTCAAGGTGAAGGGAATGGTGTCTGGCTGTGAGAGGCAGCTGGCTTGGAGTGGGGGCATGGCCTGAGATTTGGGGCAAGGCAGGAGAAGCACAGGTGATGGAGCCACAGGAGGAGAATGCCGAGGGGTCTCAGCATCCCATGATAGACGGCTGGACCCATGAGGTCAGGACTCAGGAGGCAGGTGTTAGCAATTTATTTGTGGCGCTCGTGTTCTATGCCCTGTTCTGATCTCAACTTGTCCAGTCCTTGGCACAACGGCACTGTTATCCCCATTTTGTGGATGTGGCAACTGATGCTCAGCACTGTTTAGTAATTTGGTCTCAAAAAGGCCAGATAAACCCGGGTGTGAAATTAGGCGTTTAGGCTGCAGAGCTGGAGCTCTTCCCCACACCACAGTACAAGAGGATCATCAGTGCAGAGGAGGGATCGAAGCTGAGGGGCGCAGGGTGACAGTACCTTCGCCCAGTGCTGTTGATATTGACATAGGTCACAAGGACTAAGTAGTGGCAATTGAATGTCGTTCAGTCTTATGACTATAATGGTGATGATAACAACAACAGTAATGATATAAAATAACAACTTAATAATAATATGACTTATGCAGCCTTTACTACATGTTAAACATCTTACTTTTTCATGGGTATAATTCGTTTACTCCTTGCAACAACTCTCTTAGGTAGAGCCCATCATTATTCTCCCTTATGGATAAAGAAACCCACTCAGGGATGTTAAGCAGCTTTCCTGAGGTCACACAATGAGTGAGGAGCCGGGCTGGGATTAGAACTAAGGAGGATCAAGGACCTGTGGGCCCAGCCAGCCCTGTTCCTGTCTGCTTGACCCTGGACCTGTCATCTTCATGCCTAAGGTTCCTGGTTTGTCACGTGGACCTTCCGTGACACTCTGGGACACTGAGATGCCAACACAAATCAGTTCACCTGAGACCTTCGAATCTTTCACAGGCTCAAAAGTTATAGTAAAAGATTGTTTTCTGAAAGGCAACATCCTTAGTACTTTACCTAACTGTGGGAGGCATGAGCTATCACTTATGACCAAGGCTCAGCAACGGGAAATCCTTCCAGAGATTTCTCAGCTGGAAAATGATGCAACCGGGATGTGAACACAGGCAGCCAGTTTTAGGGTTTGTGCTGTGGTGAGGGGAATGCCTGGCTCTGAACCCCACCCCTGCCTTTGTCCCCCCCATTTTCCTACAGGTCATTGAGGCCGAGCAGCGTTCCTCCAAGCGCTGGGAGCTCACCACTGAGGGCGAGGAGATTGCCCGGGAGGGGAGCCATGAAGCCCGGGTGTTCCACAGCCTCCCCCCAGAGGGCCTGGCTCAAAGCGAGCTCATGGTAGGGGCCTGAGGGGGGCAGGGCTTAGGGAAATGATGGGGGCGGCCCTTGTGCCCCACTGACTGCAGCCTCTCCCCCAGCGACTGCCCAGTGGCAAAGTGGGCTTCAGCAAAGCCATGTCCAACAAGTGGATCCGTGTGGATAAGAGCACAGCTGATGGGCCCCGAGTGTTCCGAGTGGTGAGTCCCTGCAAGTAGGTGGGTGGGTGTGTGGGTGAAGCCCTTGCCGTCACCGTCCCTCACGGCCCATCGTTGCTGCAGGTGGACCGCGTGGAGGATGAGGTGCAGCGGCGGCTCCGCCTGGTCCAGGGTGGGGAAGCCGAGAAGTTGGGTGAGAAGGAGAGGAGCGAGCTCAGAAAGAGGAAGCTCCTGTCCGAAGTGTGAGTGGGCTTGATTCCCAGTGTCAACTGCAAGGTCCCAGAGCTGGGTGGAGGGAGGGAGCCGACCTGCCTGCATGGGGCAGCAGGTGCTGGCAGTCTCCCCATCCTCCCATACCATGTACCAGGCAGGGTTTTGGCCCTGTGGCTACTGCCATGAGCCTGACGGGCTGCCTGGGGCTCTGCTTTCACACAGCTGACACCCCGTTGGAGCAGACATGGGGTGGGGCAGTGGTTATGAGAACACAGGCTGGAGCCAGCTCTGCCACTTAGCTGTGTGATCTTGGGCCAAGATACCTGGTCTTTTTTGGCCTCTGTGTCCTCTCTTACAAACAAAATGGTTCCTTTTCATGAGGGGTGACTTCAGCGGGGCAGCCTGGTGCAGAGTTAATCTTCTAAATGCTATCTGTAGTCATTGTTCTTTACTGTGTTTTATGGTCTTGAACCAGATCCTGGCACACAGTATGTTGTTAACAAGTGTCTGTTGAATGAAGCAGTGAATGAACATGAGGAGATCTGGGGGTGGGCTAGTAAGAGGATTTCAGGTGGTGCCAAATGTCAGAAAGGAAATAAAACAGAGTGGCTTGGAGATCAGGGAAGCCCTCTTAGAGGAGGTAACAGTGACATCCCCTCCTCTGCTCTGGCCACAGGATCCTGAAGACCTACTGGGTGAGCAAAGGCAGTGCTTTCAGCACCAGCATCTCCAAGCAGGAGACAGAGCTGAGCCCTGAGATGATCTCCAGGTACAGGGTGGCCCCAGGGTAGGTAGGGCAGGTGGGGCTGTGCAAGGGGCAGGGGGAAGCCCTTACCAGACCCCGGCACCCCGCACTCCCCACACAGCGGCTCCTGGCGGGACCGGCCTTTCAAGCCCTACAACTTCTCGGCTCGTGGTGTCCTCCCCAGCAGTGGCCACCTGCACCCCCTGCTCAAGGTCCGCACCCAGTTCCGGCAGATCTTCCTGGAGATGGGGTGAGCATGGGGCTGGAGGCAGGGCCCGGCCAGCCACTGGGCACAGGCACGGGCAGGGCAGTCAGGCTGCGTCTCCTACCAGGTTCACCGAGATGCCCACTGATAACTTCATTGAGAGCTCCTTCTGGAACTTTGACGCACTCTTCCAGCCCCAACAGCACCCAGCGCGTGACCAGCATGACACTTTCTTCCTTCGAGGTGGGTTAGTCCCATGGGCCTTCTTCTGAGTTCTTAGCACTGTCTGAAATCAAGTGAATTTCCATGGTTGTTGTCTCCCTAACAGGAGGGCAAGTGGGCCATTGGGTGCCTGGCTAGAGAAACATTGTTTTCATCACTACCATGACATCTAACACTGACATAGTGCACGCCAGGCACTGTTCTCGTTTTCCCAGCGTATTTAGAAAGTAGTATTGTTATGTTAGCTTTGTCTTACAAATGAAGAAACAGGTACAGAGAGAGAAAGTCACTTGCCCAGGGTCACACAGCTTGGAAGTGGTGGAGCCAGGATTCAATCCCAGGCTTCCCAGGCACACCAAGGCCATGTCTGTGGAAGGGCAGAGGAATTAACACATTTGTGCAACAAATGTTTGCTGAGCCCTCATTGTGCGCGCGGGTCTCTATTAAGCATATGGGTTGCAGCCATGAACAAGACGGAAGTCCTTGCCCCGGTGAGACTGGCATTCCTAGGAAGGGGTCGAGTATTACTTCTCAAGTGAGTTGATTGGTGGGGCAGATGGCGGTAAATGCACTGGGGAAAACTGGCACAGGGCAGTGGCATCAATTTAGAATAAAGTGACCAGCAAAGACTTCATTAGGAAGGGGTTGTTTAGGCAAAGGTCAAAGGAGGTGAGGGAGGGAGCCATGCAGATATCGGGAGGAGGGAAGTTCCAGGCAGAAGGAATAGCCACTGCAAAGGCTCCTGAGCCTGGAGGGAGAAAACACACATCATTGAGGCGGCCCATGTGACTGGAGGGAGGGGGCTAAGGGAGAGTGGAAGAGACAAGGACAGGGAGGTGATAGGGCAGAGTGTGCAGAGCCTTGTGGGCTGCGCACATTTTTTTACTCCAAGTGAGGTGGGAGCCACGGAGTGTTCTGGGCAGAGGAGGGTTGTGGCTGACTCAGGTGCTCACAAGCACCTTCTGACCACTCTGTGGGGTGAGGACGGGAGCTGCACTGTCGCCGTTTATCCTCCATGCAGTGTTTTCAGGCCCGGTGGGTAAATGCTTGTTGAGCAACCAGGTGATGCTCTCATTCTGTCAGATCCAGCCGAGGCTCTGCAGCTCCCGATGGATTACGTCCAGCGGGTCAAGCGGACCCACTCCCAGGGTGGCTACGGCTCGCAGGGGTGAGGCAGGCCCAGGACCTTGGGGTGTGGATGGGAAGGTGGGTGGGGGCCCCAGGGCCCCATCATGTACTTCCCACATTTCCTCCTGAAGGTACAAGTACACCTGGAAGCTTGCTGAGGCCCGTAAAAACCTGCTGCGTACACACACCACGTCAGCGAGTGCCCGTGCCCTCTACCGCCTTGCCCAGAAGGTGCAGCTTGGCCTGTAAGGGGATCAGGGTGGGGACCGTCCCACGCACCTGCTGACCCAGCCCCGGGCCTGGCTGTCACCCGCAGAAGCCCTTTACGCCAGCCAAGTATTTCTCCATCGACCGTGTGTTCCGGAATGAGACCCTGGACGCTACGCACCTAGCTGAGTTCCACCAGATCGAGGGTGTTGTGGCTGACCATGGCCTCACTCTGGGCCACCTCATGGGAGTCCTGCGAGAGTTCTTCACCAAGCTGGGTGAGCAGGAAGTTTGGGATGGGTGGCATTGGCAAGGGAGTCAAGGGTGCCTTGGTCACCTGCCTCATCTGCCTCCTGCTTCCCGCCCTCCTTGTCCAGGCATCACTCAATTACGCTTCAAGCCGGCCTACAACCCCTACACAGAGCCTAGCATGGAAGTGTTCAGCTACCACCAAGGTATTCGGGGTTGGAGGGGTCCCCCAGCCTGGGGCCCGGAGTTACCCCCACAACAGTCAACCTCACATCCCGCTTCCCACACCGAGTGCGTGGGCCTGACACCATCCCTATGCCCTTTCTCCCCACCAGGCCTGAAGAAGTGGGTGGAGGTCGGGAACTCTGGGATCTTTCGCCCTGAGATGCTGCTGCCCATGGGGCTCCCTGAGAACGTGTCGGTCATTGCCTGGGGCCTCTCCCTGGAGCGGTGAGTGCCTGAGCAGGCAGCTGACCCGGGGAGCACTCTGGTGTCTGGCTGCCTAGCTCTCAGTGACTTGGTTGGTATGGGGACTAAGTGCCTTCAGTGTGCCTTAATGAGCACCTGCTATGTGCCTGGCCTTGTGCTCTGATCCAGAGTACAGAGGTTCCAGTGGGGTGAGAACAGCAATACTTAGCAAGAAAAATAAGCAATTTCAAGAAATAAAATCTAGAGTGTACCCAAGGGCAGTAAGTGCTATAGTGAAGATAAAGTCAGAGAGAGATTAGGTGGTCAGGGAAGGCCCACTGAGGAGGGTCATCTGAGCACAGAGTTGAGGTAAATAAAGGAATAACCCCTGCGGGTATCTGGAGAAGGTTGGTCCAGGCAGAGGGAACTGCCAGTACAAAGGCCCTGAGGCTGAGTGTGCCTGGTGTGTTTGAGGAACAGTGAGGAGGCCAATGTGGCTGGAGCAGAGTAAGGGGGAGAGTGGGAGGGGATGGGGCAGTTGGAGCAGGACCTTGTGGGCTGCGGGGAGAAAAGTGGGAGCCTGGGAGGGCTGTGAGCAGAGGAGGGATGGGACCTGACCTAGTGGTAAACTGTGCCCCCTCCCCACCAAAGCCCAACGATGATTAAATATGGCATCAACAATATCCGGGAGCTGGTAGGCCACAAGGTGAACCTGCAGATGGTGTACAACAGTCCCCTGTGCCGCCTGGACACTGAGCCAGTGCCCTCTCGGATGCAGAAAGCTGTGTGATGTGGGCCACCAGGATAGCCCACCTTCTCCTAAGCCCTCTGCTGCCCAACCTCTTTGCATCTCTTGACAGTGACCCCCTATATTTATGAGACCTCTGTGAGGCCAGCTCCCCCCCCCCCAGTATCTCTTCTTCCCCACCTGCCCCAGAGTTAGAGGGGCAGGGGAGCAGAGAACAGGTATGTTCTGTTGTCTTTCCGTGGTCTGTTCACCTACAAGGGTGGGCCATGGGGAGCCCCGCAGGCTGGCTGCTGGCTAATAAAGTGGGCAGTTGCCCTCATCTCGTGCCTTTCCTTTGGCTACAGGGGTCTTGTCGGGTCCTCCCAGCTTAGCCTGCCACTTGATGGGGGCAAAACTGGGCACTGGAGCCCCAAGTATGCAGGGTGGTGGGTTGAGGGTCTTGGATACTTGGGGTCCTGGCTACCCTGAGCCAGGTCACCTGGGAAGACTAGGTCCATCAAGCGTTTATCGATCACTCGCTGGTGCCAGCCCCTCTTAGATGAACGAAACAGAGACCCCCTGCCCTCATGGAGGAGGGATTTGGGAGTGGCAGGCCAAGGTGGTTGTCGGTGCCCCAGGAATTGGGATTCATCTGACTGGTAGGAGCTTGAGAAGGGACAAGCTGGTTTTTTCAAAAATGATTTTCGTAAGAACATCAAACAAGCACAGAGTAGAGACAAGAATAGAATAAATCCTCATTCCTGTGAGGCAGAGGTCAGAAATGCCTCCTCTCTCTATGAACCCATCAACCACACTGAACAGTGAGCGAGATTTCTCACCCAAAACTTCATCGCTGGTATTTGTTTGTGGAAATATTTTAAAGCAAATTGCTGCCATCTCATTGCTCATCCCACATCCTTCAGGGCACCACATTTTTGGAAACATGGACAGTTTAAACCACAAGGCCGCTGCCAGTAGCCAGCAAAACTGTCAGTCTGCCTGGGCTGGGCTCTCCCCGAGGTCAAATCTTTTCTTTATTTCAAATTAAATAATTCAGCAATACAGAAGAGGATTCATTCATGCAACAAAGGTGTACCTCCTGAGTGCCAGCACCATTGTAGGAGCCGAAGACCAAGACCGAAGACCGAGTGGTGGACAAACAGCTCCTTGCCCTGAGGGAGCTGGCATTCTAGTGAAGACAGGGCAGATGATAAACAGATAAAAACAAGTGTAGGGGGAGAGATAAACAGGTGAAGATAAAGGCAGATGTGGAAGGTGAAGAGCAGATAGAGAACCTCTTCAGTTACAAAGATGAAAATGTAAGGTGGCAGGGAAAATAGATTAATGGAAACAACAACCAGAATGGAAATAATGGGAATGTTCACATATTGTAAAGAATGTAACCAATGTCACTGTAAAAACGGCCTGGGGGCGGTGTCTGACCTCCTCTAACTTCACAAGGGAAGGAGAATCAAGATCAACAGCCCAAGGCTGATTCCCATGAGGTGCAGGTCAGACATGCCTCCTCTCTCCTCCATCTTTACCAATTCTGGCACCAACCGTGCCTCCCATGGCACTCTACTTCTCTGCTGAGTTTGATAATTTGTTGCAATGGCCATATAGAACTCACAGTTCATACTCAAGATTATGGGGTATATTATGGAAGTAACATTACAACCAAGTGTACAAAGCTTTTAGTTCTGCTGCTAAGTGCCCAGAGGCACCTGACTCCAGCAGTAAGCTTTGGCTAGAAGATGCTCAGCTCTAGCTCTGAGGGTAGGCAAACCTAGCTCCACCAAGTGCCCAGAGGCACTCAGTTTTCTTGCTCCGTGGGCTGGGAAGCCATCGTGCTTCTGCCAGTCCTGCAGTCTCCTGGTTCTGCTGCTGTTTCTCTGCCACTGCTTCTTGCCATCTTGCCGTCTTCAGTGTTACAGCTCTCTTGTCTCAGTGCAGGGATCCAGGTCCAAAGGACGTGCTCCATTCTTGGCTCTTCTTCCTTGGTGGTGGTGAGATCCTCCTTCTGCTCTGGAATTGGCTCACTTTTAAGCCTAGCAGGGGATTGCAAAACTGACCAATCCCCTTGTTGTTGTTAGGTTCCGACTCATAGCGACCCTATAGGACAGAGTAGAATTGCCCCATGGGGTTTCCAAGGAGTGGCTGGTTGATTTGAACTGCCAACCTTTTGGTTAGCAGCCAAGCTCTTAACCACTATGCCAGCAGGGCCACAATTACCTTATTTGCACAGTCCACCCAAGTAGAAAGGACACACAAAAGTGATCTGCCGTCACTGAACAGTTTGTGTAGAAATTGTTGAATGGGAATCTAAACTGTTGTGTAAACCTTCACCAAAAACAAAATATTATTTGAAAAAGATAAGTAAGTTGGAGAACATTAAAATTAAGAACTTTAGTATATCAAAAGACACTATTATGTTAGCTGCCGCTGAGTTGGCCCCCAACTCATGGCGATCCCGTGCACAATGGAATGAAATCCTGCCTGGTCCTGTGCCATTCCCATAATCAGTTGCAGATTGAACCATTGTTATCCGTAGGGTTTTCATTGGTTGATTTTCAAAAGTACATTGTCAGGCCTTTCCTCCTAGTCCATCAGTCTGGAAACTTCACTGAAACCTCTTCAGCATCATAGCAACACACAGGCCTCCACTGATAGAAGGAATCCACCCAGGAATCAAACCTGGGTCTTGCCCATGAAAGGTGAGAGTTCTACCACTGAATCATCACTTCCCCCTAAAATCTGCTTACAAGCTATTTATTAGATATATATTTTGCAAATGTTTCCTCCCAGCCTGTGGCTCCTCCTGTGTTAAAACACGATCATTATTGTTGTTACTAGTATTCAGGGATTATTATTACTGCTGTTATTATTAGGAGATAGGACCCAACCCTATAAGGGCCAGACCTTACCATACTTTCAAGAAGCTTCTAGTTTTGGGGTGCATGGATAATTCTGAGTTAAGGTGGTAAATGCATAATGAGAGCAATAAGGAGCCATCGTCGTAACCAGGATGCGAAAGGTCAGAATTTTTCATTGACATTCCCTGGGGCAAAGCAGGTGAACTAAGACGTGAAGAATGAAAACATGCATATTGTACTCCCTTAGCTCAGGGATGAGCATTTGAGCCCTGGAGCCCTTGCACATGCAGAGAGGCGCGCAAAGACTCCCTCATCCCAACTGCGCGGCACCGATACCGCCTTCATGCGCAGCCTCTGAACAGCCCAACCGCCGCTTAACTGCCGGCTCCGCCCCGCTGCGCGCGCAGATACCCGTAGAGGGGCGGGGCCGGAATGCGCACGCCTTGCCACGTGCGCGGGGGTGGTGCGCGCTGGGGGCGGGGCCTGCGCTTGCGCACAGGGGTGCTAGTGTGAAGGCGGGAAAAGGCGGGATGGAGCGACAGGGAGTACGCACCGCTTGTTTCCTTCGCGCGGGCGTCGGGCGGAGAACCGCCGCGTCCCCGGGCTTTTCCGGCATGCCCGAGCCCCGCTACTTGTCTCCTATCAACGAGACCTCCTTTTGCCCTGCCCAGCCCCGATCTCCTCGCTTGACCGATCAGGTCCTGACTGACTGACGGACGGACTGTGTGACTGACGCACTGGCAGACTGGGTCTGACGAACACGCTTCCACGCATGGCGCGTGGCGGGAGCGAGATAGATAGAGGCTCAGACACCCATGCACCGCTCCCGTTTCTTTCATTATTCTTTTCTTTACCGCTTTTCTCTTTCCTTGAAGGACTTGAGACAGCACCAGTTAGGAACCCAGGCCCTCTGGCGCCCCTCGTACAGCCTCTCCCCTCAGCCCAGCCCCTCCAGGTCTCCCCGCCTCCGTCCTGGACCCCTGCTGCAGGATGCCCCTACCCCACCACCCCACCCTGGTGGTGCCCGCCCCAGCTTGGGCAGCCTCTGATGAGGGTCCCCACTGTGCCAAAGCAGCACACGGAGGTGCCCAGGGCTGAGGGGGCTGGAGGAGGCCGGCCGTGCCCTCCTTCCCTACCTCAGCCTCTCAAGCGCTGGCTGTGCTCATAGGTGGACATGTCCCACGTGGAGACCAAGGACCAGGAGCTGCAACAGTTGGACAGCAAGGAGCATCAGCAGGGCGAGGAGAACCGCGACGATGAAGCTGGTCTTGGACCACCTAGGTGAGGACCAGCTGGCCCATCGGGCCCAAACAGACCCTGGGACCTTCTCATTGACGCCTGTCTTCTGCAAAACCACAGATGTCTGCCCTTCTGCATCCCTTCCCACATATTGATGGAGCATCACCCCTGCGCCAGGCATGGTTCTAGGTTCTGGGGACACAGCAGTGAGCTGACACACTAGAGGAGGAGACAGACAGTAAAGTCATGAGTATATAATGGTCGGAAGATGCTAAGTGCTACGGAGAAAAATGGGGAGAGTGTGATGGGTAGCTAGTTTTGATTGGAGGGTCAGGGAAGGTTCCACTGAGGTGACAAAGGAACCATGCAGGTAGGGATAATGGTGCTCCAGGCAGAGGAACAGGAGCTGCAAAGGCCAGGAGAGAGGACTTTGCTGGAGCAGCATGAGTAGAAGGGAGATAGTAAGAGATGCAGTCCGACAGGGAGCGGGACTTTGGACATTAATGTGTGATGGGAGCTATGAAAGGGTTTAGAATAGAGGAGTGACATGATGCTGCCACAGCAGGGGTCAACAGACTATGGCTGGCAGGCCAGATGTAGTCCACCACCCGTTTTTGTCAATAAGGATTTTTTTTTTAATGGTGGTGAAAATATATACAAGTCCTTCACCAATTAAATGATTTCCACATGTACAATTCAGTGACATTGATTATAGTCTTCAGGTTGTGCAGCCATTCTCACTATTCTTTTCCAACTCATTCTAACACCATTAACAAAAACTCAATGACCCCTAAGCAAAAACTCCCCCTTCCCCACTCCCTCCCACTCCTGGTAACCACTAATAATCTTTGTTTTGTATATATTTGCTTATTTCATATAAGTGAGATCATACGATTTGTCCATCCGCAACTGACTTATTTCACTCAGCATAATGTTTTCTAGGTTCATCTATGTTGTGGCATGCATCAGGACCTAATTTCTCTTTATGACTGAGTAATATACCATTGTATGTATACGACACTTTTTTTAAATTGTGCTTTAAATGAAAGTTTACAGTTCAAGTTAGTTTCTCATACAAAACTTTATACACACACCTGCTATGTGACCCTAGTTGCACTCCCCATACTGTGACAGCACACTCCTTCTTTCCACCCTGGATTTCTCATGTCCATTCAACCAGCTCCTGTCTCTTTCTGCCTTCTCCTCTCGCCTCCGGACAGGAGCTGCCCATTTAGACTCATATATCTACTTGAACTAAGAAGCACACTCTTCACGAGTATCATTTTATGTCCCATAGTCCAGTCTAATCTTTGTTTGAGGTGTTGGCTTCAGGAATTGTTTTAGTTTTGGGCTAACAGAGAGTCTGGGGGCCATGTCTTTCGGGGTTCCTGCAGTCTCAATTAGACCATTAAGTCTGGTCTTTTTACTAGAATTTGTGTTCTACACCCCATTTCTCTCTTGCTCCGTCAGGGACTCTATTGTGTTCCCTGTCAGGGCGGTCATTGGTGGTAGCCAGGCACCATCTAGTTCTTCTAGTCTCAGGCTGATGGAGTTTCTGGTTTATGTGGCCCTTTTATCTCTCCGGCTAATGTTTCCCTTGTATCTTTGGTGTTCTTCATTCTTCTTTGCTCCAGGTGGGTTGAGACCAGTTGATGCATCTTAGATGGCTGCTCGCTAGCTTTTAAGACCCCAGACACCACTCACCAAAGTGGGATGCAGAACATTTTCTTAGTAAACTTTGTTAAGCCAGTTGACCTAGCTGTCCCCTGAAACCATGGTCCCCAGACCCTGCCCCTGCTACTCTGTCCTTTGAAGTGTTTGGATGTATTCAGGAAACTGCTTTGCTTTTGGTTTAGTCCTGTTGTGCTGACTTCCCCTGTAGTGTGTGCTGTCCTTCCCTTCACCTAAGATAATTCTTGTCTACTATCTAGTTAGTGAATACTCCTCTCCCTCCCTCCCCACCCTCGTAATCATCAAAGAGTGTTTTCTTCTGTGTTTAAACCTTTTCTTGAGTTCTTATGATACTGGTCTTATACAATATTTGTCCTTTTGAGACTGACTAATTTCACTCAGCATAATGCCTTTCAGATTCATCCAGGTTATGAGATGTTTCACGGATTCATCATTATTCCTTATGGTTGCGTGGTAGTCCATTGTGTATGCCACTTTTTTTTATCCATTCATCTGTTGATGGACATTTCCGATCTTTTCACATTTTGGCTATTGTAAAAAGTGCTGCAGTGAACACTGTTGTACACGTTTCTGTTTGTGTTCCTGCTTTCACTTCTGGGTATATACCTAGGATTGGGATTGCTGGGTCATATAGTAGTTCTATGTTCAACTTTTTGAGGAACCGCCAAACTGTTCTCCGTAGCAGCTGTACCATTTTACATTTCCACCAGCAATGGATGAGGGTTCCAGTTTCTCCAAAACCTCACCAACACCTGTTTTTTTGTTTTCGTTTTGTTTTTTTTTTATCATTGCCATTCTAATGGGGGTGAGGTGGTATCTCGTGGTGGTTTTGATTTGCATCTATAATGGCTAATGACATTGAGCATCTTTTCATGTGTTTGTTGGCCATTTGAATATCTTCTTTGGTAAATGTCTGTTCAATTCCTCTGGCCATTTTTTGATTGGGTTGTTTGTCTTTTGTTGTTAAGTTGTAGAAGTTTTATATATATTTTCATATTAGACTCTTATAGGATATATGGTTCCTGAAAATCTTCTACCAGTCTGTAGGTTGTCTCTTCATTTTGTTGATAAAGTCCTTTGATGAGCAAAAGTATTTAATTTTCATGAGGTTCCATTAATCTGTTTTGTCTTTTGCTGCTGGTACTTTTATTGTCATATCTGATATTAATGCATCGTTAAAAACTAGGTTCCACAGTCTTGCCTCTACATTTTCTTCTAAGAATTTTATGATTTTAGTTTTCACATTTAGGTCCTTGATCCATTTTAATTTGGTTTTTGTATATGGCATGAGGCATGGATCTTGGTTCATTCTTCTGCATGTGGAAATCCAATTTTCCCAACACCATTTATTTAAGAGACTGTTTCTTCCCTATTGAATGGACTTAGCACCCTTGCACTCTTGTTGAAAATCAGTACAGTCATATAGATGTACATATTTCTGGACTCTCAATTCTATTTCACTGGTCTATATATATGTCTGTTATTATACCAGCACCAAACTGTTTTAATTACTGTAGCTTTATAGTACATTTTGAAATCATACTCCTACTTTATTTTTCTTCTTCAAGATTGCTTTGGGGTCCCACGCCCTTTCATATGAATTTGAGGATTGGCCTTTCCATTTCTGCAAAGAAGGCTGTTGAAATTTTGATGGGGATTGCATTGAATTTATATATTGCTTTGGGCAATAGAACATTTGTGCACAGGTTTTTGTTGGACATACATTTTCATTTCTCTTGTTTGGAATTTCTGGATCAGAGAAGCAACGTGGTCAGATTCATGTTATAAAAAGATACTGGCTGTTTTGTGGAGAATGGTTGGGACGGGGCATAAGTGGATATGGGAGATCAGGTGGGAAGCTCCTGCAGGGGTGGCATCTAGCAGGGTAGACATCTAGCAGGGGAGATGGACAGAAGTGGATGGCTCTGGGGGGTCATTTAGTGAGGCATGAGGGAAGGGATGAGTTGAGGATGTCTCCTGGCTATGGTGTGCTGGATCCACCGCCTCCTGGCTTTCAAGAGCCGATTTTGCACATCTCAACTTGGTGTTTACTGACTTCACATTGGTAGTTTGAAATTGGCTATTGTGTCAGTCTTTGAACCATGGGAATTGTCAAACACTCTAAACCAGGGCTCCACCACCTCCCAGACAGCCAGTTGCTAAGTGCTTACCAGCACACCACTGCTCCCAGCTTTCTTGCTTGTGGTGGTTTCCAGTAGGTGGTGGTTTCTTTGGCAGTAGCAAGAGCGAGTGTTCCGTTTCGCCTTTGTTGAGTTTGAGGTGACTGGGGACATCCACATGAACATGTCAAAGGGACATTGGCCTTTCTGATCTGGCACTCAGGGTGGGGCTAGAGGCTGGAGATAGCGCTAGGGGAATTGTCGTTTCAGATGGCATTGAATTGAGTGAATGTGCTAACGTAGGGAGAGAGTGAGAAGAAGCCAGGCTCAGTACATAGCCCTGAGGAATCCAGGCATAAAGCCAGCTTCATCTTACCTCACAAAATCCTGTTCTAAAGTGGGTCACAGAGTGAAACAGTTTCTAGATGTGTGCTGTCAGTTGGAGACCAGAAAAAGTGAGGAAATAGCTGAAGTGATTTGATAATGCCTTACTGCCAATAGCATGTTTAGACCAGGATCTATGTGAAGAAACATAGACAATTACAAATAATTTACAGACTCCAAGGAGTTCCACAAGAGCTTTGGGCTGAAAAACAGGTGGCTGGAAAAACAGTGCAAGGTCCATTTAATAGATCTAGCCTCAGACACTCAGCAACATGATTAAAATGTTAACACGTTTCTGGAGAGAAAAGTAGAGGGCGAGGAAGGGGCCCTCAGCTTTGATTGGAACCCTCCCCTCCCTGGCTGTACTTCAGTGAAACATCGTTTTGCCCAAGAGCCAGAGACTGTGTTGTGTTCCTCCTTGAATGTTTGATTAGCTTGCCTCCCCACCTGGGACTGCTGCCTGCGGTGGTCATAAGTGGCTGGCGGATTGTTTACTTGTATATCTGTTAGAGGCCACTGAGGGAGGGCCTCACAAGCAGCGGCTCTGGCTCACACGCCTGCCAATCACAGCTTTACCTGGAGCGAACAGATGGTCTCTTCGCTGAGACCCATTTCCTCCGTGCCATTCTGGGCCCCCTGCCAGTCTGGGCCCTGCTTGGGAACTATGTCCTAATCCTTGCAGCCGAATTAGGGAATCCTTAGAAGGACAGACCGTGATAGATGAGCGCAGCGATGTGTTCGGAGCCCCCATCCCACAGCCCAACCCCCGTGCAGGCCATGCATACCTGGCCTGGTGTGTTGGGCTGACTTCCATTCCCTGGCCTCTGTCCAGGGTTCTGCAACAGAAGCAGGCCCAGGAACTGGCGAAGCCAGTGGAGAGGACACTGTGCGTTTTGTTTATTAAAGTTAATTGGTGAATGCAGGCCCAGGGAAGCCTATGATTCATTAGCATCCTGATTAGTATGCAGCTGCTGAGTATTAAGGAAAATGAAAGCAAAAGGAATACATTCCCAAAGGAGGGGCTGGAAAAATAAAGAAGCTGTCTGCAGACATCTGATGCAGGCCTTTGTCCCACAAAGAAATTTGAATTCGCTGATTCCAGGTGATTTTTCACCATTTTTATAGCTTCCATGAAAACCTGTTCCATCAGCATCCCTTGAGCCTTTTGAACAACTTTTAACCATTAGCAGCTCAAGCAGGTTGTGAACAATTACACAAAAAGAAATGCATGGTTATTTCATTGAATTTAATTTCAGGGTCCTTACACTGTTCAGGCAGTCTAGAAGTTGTGACCACAAAGCACACTGAAGGTACTAGGAGGCTTGAGAACAGGAATGTTACAACCAGCTCCATCCATAGTTCGTTTATTTAGGTATTCAGTAAACATTTATGAAGCCTTTAAACCAGTTGCCGTTGAGTCGATTCCAACTCATGGCGACCCAATGTGTGCCAGAGGAGAACTGTGCTCCATAGGGTTTTTCAATGGCTGATTTTTCAGACGTAGATCGCCAGGCCTTTCTTCCAAGGCACCTCTGGGTGGACTTGAACTGCCAACCTTTCAGTTAGCAGCCCAGCGTGTTAACCATTTGCACCACCCGGGGACTCCTATGAAGGCTTTGGGATACTGTAAAACAAAGATGAGTAGAATGCAGTCCCCACCCATCCATGAAGGTACTGATGTGTATAAGCTATTAATTACAGCACTGTGATCAGCACTATAAGAAAGGCTCGGCAAAGATGCAGTGGGGTTACAGGAGTGGAAGCTCTGATGTTGCCTTCTAAAGAAGTCAAAGGGAAGGTCATTACAGACAGAAGCTGATGTGTTTGGTGAAGCTGGGGAAGGCTCCAGAGTTCATTGGTGAAGGGGTGGAGGAGGCAGTAGAAGAAGGTAAGGCTGGAAAGGGAGGGTAGAGGCCAGGGCCTGGAAGCCTTGTGTGCTGTGCTGAGGAATTCAGACTTGATCCTGTGGATGATAGGGGAGCCATCTTCAGCTGTCAAGCAGGGGTGGGGAATCGGATTGCAGTTTAGAAGCTCACCAGGACTCAGGTGAGAAGTTACAAGAGGGGGGTTGCAAATAATAGACCTGAGAGACATTAAAGAGGCAGAAGTGAGAGGATGTAGTGATAGGATGTGGAGGGACAGAGAGAAGCCAGACTCCAGACTGACTGCTAAGTTTCTGGCTTGGGAATAGGTAGGTGGCTTTTGGTGTCATTCACCAGGAAGAGGGAAGATGAAATCGGGCTAGGGGGAGAATGATGATTTTGGTTTGCAGATGGAGAGTTTGAGATGCCTTTAAGGACATCCAAGTGGAGATGGCCTGGAGGTAGGTGTGTGTGTTGGTTGGAAGCTAAGGAGAGAGGCTAGAGCTGGAGGTGACAAATTTGGGAGTCATCAGCATGTGGATGGTGATGGGGGTCCTCATGCATTCACATATTCAGTGCACATTTGTTACCCCTACTGTAAGGGGTAGGTACTGAGAAGACCAAGATAGATGAGGCCCTGGCCCTCCAGGAGACTAGTGGGGGAGGCTGAGATGTAGTGACTCTGTGTGCTCTTAACCCAGCCCGGGAAACTTTGCAGAGGAAGCAGGACTTAGGTAGGAAAAGGGAGTGCCAAGGAACCCCAGGGGCTGGAATAGTGCCTTTGGAGGGTGACAGGCTGTGCGTTGTGGAGTGGTAGGCAGAAGATTAACCTGTGAGGGCAGCAGAGGGGAGGAGTGGCAGGCACTGCACAGCAGGGGTGTGAATGAGAGCATCCAGGAAGAGAGTATACAGGGAACAGAGGAGAGGTCAGGGGATACCAACGCATCAGGGGCAGAGGAAGGTGAACCAGACGACTCAGAAGGAATGGCAGTGAGGAAGTGATTAACAACACCAGCTGCTGCTGAGAGGTCAAGGGAGTTGCAGTCTAAAAGGGTCTGCCGGTTTAACCACGGGTCACTGGAAAGGAGCCGTTACATTTGAGACCTAGGGCAGGAACCTGATAGCAGCAGGTTGAGAAGTGAGTGGAACGTAAGGAAGTGCACTCAGAAAGTATAGGCAGCTCTTTTAGAACCCCAACTGTGATGGGAAGGGAATAGGGAGGTGGCTGGCTGAAGGAGACCTGGGGTGACAAGGAAGTTCTATGTGTATGCGTTTTCAAGATAGAAGAGGTATGTGCTAAGGGGAAGGAGCCAACCAAAATCGAGAAATTAAAGATACAAGAAGGACGGGTATGTGGGGATGGGATCTGGAGCTAGGCAGAGGCATGGAACATCTCTCCCAGTGAGGGTTGGAAAGAGGAAGGGTGGTTGTGGATATATTTATCGAGGGAAGCAGAAGGCAGAGGGAGTTATTGGCCTGTGCTGTTTCCATACCTGCTCAGGTTAAGGGAAAGTAAGTGTCGGGGTCAGGGGCAGGTGCATTGTCAAGGTTTGGAATGGCTGATGGGAAGAATGAGAGAGGGAGGTGACCACGTGCCAAATGGCCCTGAGGACCCCCCTGAAGATAGAGCCAGGAATTGGCAGTGGCCCTGTATCAGGATAATAATCAGCGTAAATCAAATCCTCACGTTTTTACTTTTCTGAAGTCTGATACCACCTGCAACATGCGGCACCTCTCTCTGTGACTCAAGCCACCCGGAGTTAGGTCAGATCTCTCCCAGGTAAAAGGATGCCCTCCTTCCAGCTGCCAGCCACAAACTTGGGAATCCCTCCTGGGCTTCCTAACTTCTGACTTGCTGGCTCCCACAACTCCTTTGGGTTGTGGGAATGACTTGTGAGTTGTGGGAATGATTTGCTGGAATGACTTACAGAGCTTACAGAAAGTGTTATGGTTATAAATTTATTATAGTGAAAAAGGATACAAATCAGGATCAGCATAAAGAGACTTTTAAGGCAAGGTCAGGGAGGGTTCCCAATGTGAGCTTTTGTGTCCCAAACGGGTTATGTCACCCTCTAGAAAGCAGATGTTTTCACCAACCACGAAGCCCATGGAGCTTCTGTGTCCAGAGTTTTTATTGGAAATTTCATTATGGAATGCAAACTCCAGCCCCTCATCCCTGAGGTCAGTTGATATCATGAAGTGATCCTGAGATATTCGTGATGGGTCTTTCTGACCTGGCCAGTCCCCACCCCAAAGTTACCTCATCACCTCACCTAACCTGTTAGTTAGGTGTGGTCTGGAGTCCTTATTGAACCAAAAAAAAAAAAGAAAGAAAGAAAGAAAAGCCCTATAGGACAGAGTAGAACTGCCCCATAGGGTTTCCAGGGAGCGCCTGGTGGATTTGAACTGCTAACCTTTTGGTTAGAGCCATAGGTCTTAACTACTGTGCCACCAGAGCTCCACTCTGTTTATAGGGTTGTGATTTTCTCCAGCAACACTCAAGTTCTTGAGTGTTGGAAAAGAGAAAGCACTTGGTTTTTTGAGCCAGGGTGGGGTTGTGGGTGTGACACAAAGTCCAAGAGAAGAGGGGCGTGAGGCCACCAGCAAGATACTAAAGTAATGGACAGATGCCAGAGTTTAGTTTCAACAGGAGGGAAGGGAGTACTTGAGGTCTCAGGGAAACCAGAGACCAGGTTTTCTTAAACTCATCCTCGCAACTCCATTATGATCATGAAAAGCATGGTTATTCTTCAAAAAGCTATCCATTCTCTATTATCCGCGTGCATCCAGATGCTACAAAAATCTGAATGTTAAAATGTAGATGTGTCCCTGGTCTGAGTTAGTCTCTTTATGCCTCACTTATCCCTGGAAAAGAAAGAGTAAATTGCAGCTAAACAAAAAAATTAAAAAGCCCTTTGCAGGCAAATAGATCCGATTCATGGTGACCCCGTGTGTTACAGAGTAGAACTTCTCCATAGGGTTTTCTTGGCTGTAATCTTCACAGAAGCAGATCGCTAGGGCTTTCTTCCACAGTGCTGCTGGGTGGGTTCGAACTGCCAACCATTATGTTAGTAGGCGAGCGCAAACTTTGTGCCACCTGGGACCCCTAATATCAGGTTAGAAGGTGGTAGAATCCTTTGTTCATAGTAAAACGTCTTTTTGCAAGAATGCTTAGGGAGTGTTCCTTTCTAGTTCATTTGCTTTTTATAGCTATTCATTCAGTTTTGCTTTTTATACAACTATCTCTCTTCACCTGTATTTCATTTCATAATATTTAATTAAATTACACAATTGTAGTCTAGTCACATGCACAACTCACAAGTGATGTGGGACAAACATAACTAACTCTTGACAAGCGTCTGCCTCCCTTGGTGGGAGCAGAGACATGCGGGCACATTAGCCTGAGGTGGTCTCCGTGCTGTGGGCATCACCCGCAGATACAGAAAGGAATGTTAAACATTGGTAAAGCAGCACATTAGTGACGTGAGGTCAGTGAGGAAAGCATCTGTGCTATTTATAGCATCAGTAAATGCATTTTAAAACTGTGGGCTTTGGAGTCTGGAGGATTTTCTTGTTCTGGGACCTTAGGCATATTTAATTTGTGCCTCTGAGTTTAGGATACTATCCCTGCCTCTCAGGGTGGTTGTGTAAATGAAATAACCTAGGAAAAGTGCCAGGTGTCTCTGAGGAGGGACAGACAGCACAGTTCTCCTCCCACCACATAGCTAATTCAGATCAGCCACTCAGGAGAATTTGGTGCTGATCTCAGTTTTCTGTAATTTCAGAAGTCAAGTTTCTAGCCCCTCTATTGCTACCTCCAGTGCCAACCGCCAAATGATGCTGGAAGGGAAGTCAGGATCCTATTTTTCTTCTCTGGACTCAAGCATCGAGATCTTGAAGAAAAGAGCCCAGGAGCTCATCGAAAACATCAATGAGAGCAGGCAAAAGGACCACACACTCATGACCAACTTCAGGGACAGCCTTAAGATTAAGGTGACAGACTCCCCCAGGCCCACTGCAAAACCTCAGCTGGAGGAGGGCGGGTATTCTCATGTAAAAAGGGGAGGGGATAAACTGTCACTAAGCATCTGTTATGTTCCAGGCATGGTGCTAGGCAGCTTGCATATAGTATCTCACTTCACCCTTCCTTCAATCTTGCAAAGAGATTGGACCCATTTTGTAGATGAGAAAGCTAAGGTTTGGAAATAATTTGACAGAGTGACAGCTTGGATGAGGAACTAAGGTCCCTCTGCATCCAAACCCAGCCCTCTTATTTCATACAATGGCTAATGGCTATAGGGGTTGGGGGCTGAGGCATAGCTTACTTTATCACACCCATATTTCCTCCAGAAGCTGAATGATCTACATGAGCGAGTCAGGGGATTCCTTAACACATAGCTGAGGCGTGAGCAGGCTTATGTCTAATTAAGCCAGCTACTCAGGGCTGATGTTCATTGTTGTGCCTGATGGTTCTTTAGAATGCATTGTGGATTCTGCGTATGGAGTGGCTTGTTTATTCCACATTTCATCTCTGGATGACAAGTCATCTCTTGATGACAGGCTGACTTTTTCCTCCTTGTTTTCCCCTCCCATCCCTATCAGTACACACCCTGGTACATCATAGAAAACTGGAAAGTATAGAAAAGTATAATGCAGTAGAAAAAGTATAGAAATGTTCCTATGATACCACCACCCACAGGCTGTTTTGTTGTATATTTTCCTCTAGGCTTTGTTCTGTGTACTTTTTTCCTACCATGGTTGAACTTTTACTGTTACAATTTTGCATCTTGCTCTTTAAAAAAAAATTAACATATAGGCATTTTACCCCCCAGTCACTGCAATTTTACCATTCTTATAAGATAAATTGCAGAAATCTAAGAGGTCCACTTAGAACAAACGTTTTATTTTGCCTTGTGTGACTTTTCAAGAATATGTCTTATTCTTGAAAAGGTTTCGGATCTGACAGAGAAGTTAGAAGAGAGGATGTATCAGATTTATAATCACCACAACACGATTATTCAGGAAAAGCTCCAAGAGTTCACTCAGAAAATAGCAAAGATCAGCCATTTGGAAACAGAACTCAAACAAGTCTGCCACACCGTGGAGACCGTATACAAAGACTTGTGTGTCCAGTCTGAGGTAGGATTTAAGGTCGTGGTGGGGCTGGGGGGTGGGGGTGGAGGTTGCCTGAGGAAGAAGGGTTGTAGCCGCTAAGCTGAAAGTAAATGTGAACAGAAACCAGAAGTCGCCTCTGGTGCCAACCCTAAAACCCACAGGGGCAACAATAAGTGCAAAGGCCTGCAATCTGTACTTTTGCCCTCTCTCTCGTTTGCGGTCCTGTGCCCCCTGTAATATGGCATGTCCATGCTGACACACCAGGGAGCTAACTGTTGTGGTGGTAACTGAAAGGACAGAGTCCTTTGCACCTGCCAGGCAGAGACCATCCCTCTGCCTCCAGCCCTGACAAGGCAGTGCCTAGTCCAGGGTTATTTATTACAGAAGAGCTGTGAGGCTTGCACATAGGCCTGACTGCTCTAGGGGAAAAAAACCTCACCATGTCCCAGTGACCCATACCCGGACCCACAGCCCCCAGACCTGCTGGTTTCTGTTTCGTCTGAAACTTCTCAGGTGGTTACAAGTAAAGGTCGTGGGGTTGGACTTGCAGATGCTTTATTATTCTCTCTCACTCTTGTTCTGCTCCACATCCAGCATAAGGCACTACCCCCTCAGAAGAGGGAGGGTCGGAGGGTACAGAGCAAACTTCTGGTGTGAGGGGGTTTGCTTTGTCAGACGCTAGGTCAGTTTCACAGAGGTTGCTTCAAATGTCACTTTCCTTCCTTCTCCCTACTTCTCCCTGTCAAGAGAAGCTTCTTTCCCAAGGTAAATGGAGTCCATTGTCATCCAGTTAAAAATGGATTGAGAACCTCTATACAGAGAAGTCCATCATCTTTTTCAGCAGTAAATTTGAATGACATAAAAAGGGAAGTTTTGCTATTTAAAGGTCAGCATCCCTTACTTCCCACCATAAAAGTTGGTTCCTTTCAAAAGTTCAGGGCTATCCCCCACCTTTCTGACTGTACTCAGAGCACAGCGTCCCCCAGGTGTCTCTCTGGAAAGGGGCTTCAGAAATCTCCAGGCCCCTGGTGAAGTGCATTCATTTGCCAGCCTTGAATGCCTGAATTCCCGTGATTGCTTTTCCCAGAATCAGCGCGTGAATGTCATGTGTACCTGGACACAATAAATACAGTTAGTTTGGAGTTTTAACAACTCACAACTTCCTTTTAAAGTCAATCTTCCAGGCTGCTACTGTGGAAGAAGAACAGACCCACAAAGACAATGAATGCTGACAATGCCAGGAAATTCGCCTTCTACTGACAGCAACTGTGAGAAGGCTCAGAGGCCACAGTTCGGGCCACACTGAGGAAGCTGGTTTTTCACAGTTCTGTAATGCATATTGGCAAAACCCAGAGCTCCTTCTGCTAGACCCAAAAATGCAGTTAAGTCTAGCCCTGCCGTGGGCCTAGCCTTGGTATTCCTCACACATGGCAAATTCGCCCCACCCCAGCCCCGCACAGTTGATTAAACGTTTCATTTTCATCCAAGCATTGTTTCCTTCCCACAGAGGCTGAAAGAGCTGATTAGCTATGTGGAAACACATCAGGGCCTTTCTTACCCACAAGAGGAATGGGAAAGCAAACACAGAAGATCAGTGGCATGTCACAGCCAATTTCCCACCTCCTGAAGCCCGCAAGCCCCAGAGTGTCCCACCTCACAGCTCCCGTGTCTGTGTAACCCCTCAGTCCTCAAAGCCCCTCAAACTTGTGTTCTTGTTTGCTCTTCCTCAGCTTCCGGGGGCAGAGGGCAGAGATTATCACCTCCCTTTTATAGAGTAAAATAATTCGTTTACTTCCTAAAACACACACCTGACTCTGTCCCCTGTGTAAAACCACCTGAAGGCCTTTTTTGCTATTTTGCAGTCTTCAGGATCATTCCCATGCGTTTATGATTCCTACTCCACAGTCCTCCCTTTTGCTGTTTCTGGAATGTCCCATCCAGCTGCCTAATAGAGATAAGATTCTGGGCTGTGGGACCTCCCCTGGATTAAATTCTGTAGTCCACAGGAGACACAGGGAAGGTGCCGGCTCATGCACAGCCACAGCTGTCCTCTCTGCCTGGAAGCTGTCAGGTTCTCTTGGGGAGCTCCTGTGCCTCCCTCAGAGCCTATCGTGGCTTTACTTTCTTCTTAAGAGGTCCAATCCCCTCTTAGGTCTCCCTCTATTTCTGCGTGGCCCACACTGGGTTGTAATTTTTTTCTTTTTAACTATCTTTTTACACATCTGTCTTCCCACAAGGCAAGGAGTTGTAGCCCCAGTGCGAGTCACAACCAGGGTGAGGTTTGAATACCAAGTTTGCAATCGATTTACCATTTTTTCTTTTAACATAAAATGGAGTGATAATTCCTGGATGTAGCTTCACTCTCACTCCCTTGCATTTACTCACTAGCTTGGTGGTGGGGATGCCCGAGGAGGGCGTCAGTCTCAGAAACATCCTCATCACAAGCATTGTGGGAGAAAGGACTGGGCTGCAGTAGGCTGTGAACACTAGGGACAGCATGATCTGGGCCTCTACAGGCTCAGCAAGGATTTTACTTCCACTGTCCAGTGGGATCCACTCCAGATGAGGGCCAGAAGGTTTGACTTGCCCAACGTCACACTGCCAGTTGGTGACAGCTGGGGATAGGACTAAGCCTGCTGTCCCCCACCCCTCCTTGCCACCCATGTTCCCCAGACATGAGGCCCCTGCAGCCCACCACCCCTAGAGATCTGGTCCCACCTTCATAGGTGTTCACTGCCTCCAGGTTCATGGCGTGTCGGATCACATGGTACTCATCAGAAATCCCATTACCCCCCAGCATGTCTCGGGCCTGGCGGGCAATGTCCAGGGCTTTCCCACAGTTATTCCTCTTCAGCAGAGAGACCATTTCCGGAGTGTCCCTGGTTGTAGCACATACGGGCAACAACACTGGATTACAGAAAACTGACCCAGCTCTGGGTAGGCAGGCATCCCCATGCCCTGGGCAAACCCAACCAGGGAGAAGGATTCCCGTGCTACAGAATCATGGCAGCAGACACAGAGTTCCCAAGCTGAGTGGCCAGCAAGGCCATCTCTAGCCTGGCTCATCAAGGCCAAGGAGAGAAGAACAGGTGGGTCTCAAGGGGCCACCAAGCAGGAAGGACCACTCTCCCCAGGGCCAGCCCCCCGCATGCCCAGGAGGGGCCTGAGATCCTCCTGCCACATCTATCTCCCCTTCCCCCCACCTCATACCCAGCCCCTACTTGTTTCGATCCTTCAAACGGCCAAGCTGCAGGCAGGCGTGAAGACTCAGCGTAATCTCAGTGAGCATGTCTGCCAGCTTCTTCTGGATCAGTTGGTTCCTGGCCAGTGGGACGCCAAACTGGATCCTAGACGGGCAAGGTCTGGGTAAGGGCGAGAGGAAGGCCCATGCCCCAGTCTCCCTCCCAGGGCCCCATTCTCCAAGAAGCCTTCCCAAGCTGCCTTAGCCCCCTGGCACTATCATTCACTCAATCGTTAACTGCTGGCAAGGACTTTGTTGGCCATTTCACAGATAAAGTAACTTAGGTCTGGTGGGCAGGAGCTGAGAAATCACTGGTGGGGTAAGGAATGGCACCCAAGCACCTTATACCCCCAGGAGACCTGCGGCAGCCCCCACTCACCTGTCCATGGTGTACTGCCGGGCTGTGTGCAAACAGAACTCAGCAGCTCCAAGCACACCCCATGTAATGCCATACCGGGCATTGTTTAGACAGCCAAAGGCACCCTGGACGTTTGAGAAGGAGGCCTCAGTCCAGAACCACCTCTGAGTAACATGCAGTCAGTGTAAGCAGGGGCACTTGGGGCAGCTGTTGTGGATCACACAGTGCCGGGCACACCAGACTTTGTCAGTGCCTGCTCACTTTTGATTTGCACATAGTTCTACCCAGCTCAGGATCTGGCTTTGATGCCAGATCTAGGAGGCTGATGCATGGAGGCAGGAACATGCATGTTAATCAAAGGACTGAGCTTGTTCAAGCCCATCTGTGTCCTGGAGAGAGCCTATGTCAGCAAGATGGCCACCAAAACGGGGCTGTTTTTCAGCCCATTGATGACCAGGCTGAGCCTTGACAGTCACTACTGTGTGGGCTCCACAAGCACAGGGTTCACCCAAGACAGGTGGACCAGCGGGTGACCCAACACCAGTTCCCTGCTCACCGCCAGACCAGATGCATTGGGCAGCACATTCTCCTCTGGGACCTCCACACCATCCATGATGATCATGCCAGTGGCCGAGGCCCGCAGGGAGAACTTGCCCTCAATCTTGGGGGCTGAGAGGCCCTGCATCCCTTTCTCCAGAAGGAAGCCCCGAATGCAGTTATCTTCACACCGAGCCCACACCACGAAGAGGTCAGCCACAGGCGAGTTGGTGATCCTGGGAGTAGGACAGGGCAATGAGGAGTCTGGCCACCGCCACCACCTGCCCACCCACCTGCCCAGCCCCAAGGCTCCTCACCAGGTCTTGGTCCCATTGAGGGTATAGCTCTTGCTGGATGGGTTGTGGAGGGCTCTGGCCTCCATGCTGCCAGGGTCACTCCCATGGTTGGGCTCTGTGAGCCCAAAGCAGCCCAGGAGCTCCCCCTTGGCTGCAGGGACAAGGCAGGTCACCGGTGCTGGTGGGGTAAGAACTGGCCTGCATTCATCCCCTCAACTGAAATTTGTCAGTGTCTCCAAGTCAGGCCTTGGGAACAAGGCAGATTGGGCCCTGCCCTCATGGCACTCTGGTGGGGGAGACAGGCCCCACCAGGCCATAGTCACAATGCCATGATCAGGAAGGGCTCCAGGGGAGTCAGGAAGGAATTGGCTAAACTGTGTCCTGGGGCAGTGAAAAGGAGTTAAGCAGGAGAGACTGCGCAGAATGTTCCCAGCAGAGGGAACAGGATGTGTAAAGGCCCAGGGGTATGTTTGGAGACTTCAAATAACTGAATCTGGCTAGGGAGTAGCAGGCAACAGTGGCCACAGACAAAGTGGAATGGTTAGCAGAGGCCAGGTCACTTGGGGCCTTGTGGACCCAGTTAGAAGTTAAGACTTTAAGCTTTGGACTGGGATCATAAAAAGGTTTTAAGCCTGGAAGCAAATCTGGAGGGAGATGATGGTGGCAAGAAAGGGGGTGATTTAAGAAACACCCAGGAGGTCAGGGCTGGTGAGAGATTGGATGTCAGGATGAGGCCCAGGGTCTGGCTGGGGGCCTGGGTGGGTATAGGTGCTATCCTTGAGATGGAGACAGAGGGCAGGCTCAGGATAGCCCTGTCACTGAGTTCCAGATCATGGGGACTGTCTACCTTCCACCACGCCCCATGGACAGCCGCTCACCCAGCCGGGGCAAGTACTTCTGCCGTTGCTTCTCACTGCCATAGGCGTAGATAGGGTGCATGACGAGTGAGGACTGGACGCTCATCACCGACCTGTAGCCGCTGTCCACCCGCTCCAGCTCTCTGGCCAGGAGCCCGTAGGCCACAGATGAGGCCCCAGCACAGCCATACCCTAGTAGGGTTAAGGGAGGTAGGGAAAAGCCCCGCCCACCTGGGAGCAGTGACTCCTGGGGCCCAAGAGACTAAGCTAGATAGGAGCACCCAAAGAGGGGACACTAAATTGGTCCTACTTGAGGGTTCATTCGTTTCATCCCCCCAGCCATTTTCAGTGGGCAGGTTAACAGCCTCCTCAGACTGGGAACTTGTAGCTCAGAGAAAGGGTCAGGGAGGCTTTTCAGGACACAGTGGGAGGTTGCAGTGTTGAGAGAAGCTTGTCTCTACCTTTGATGGTGGGGCCCAGCATGCCCAGCTCCCCCATCTCCGAGATGACCTCCCGATGAAAAACTGCCGAAGGACAGATGCCTGAGTTCAGGCCCAGCTCTAGCCCACTGAAGCCCGCAACCCCAGCGCAGAGGGGCCCAGAAACCCAGCTAGAGCTGGCCGAGCTGGTATGCATGGTGAGGGGTGTGCCGCCCCAGCAAGAAGGGGAGCCCTAGGGTGAACACCCGCCTGCCCATCCAGGCACCTTCATTGCGATTGGCCAGCAGGATCCGGGGCATGAGGCGCTCCTGGCAGTAGGTGCGGAAGGTGTCCCTAATGAGGATCTCATCTGCTGTCAGCTGCTCCTCCAGAACCAGCGGGTCCCGCCAGTCAAACTCTGGACGCGAGGCTAGGAAGTGGGGATGTGGGCTCAGCCGTCCTCCAATCCCGCAAGAACAGGGAACTCACTACTTCAATGCCTCGGGCTCTGGCACGGCCCTGCCTTCCCGCAGGTGCAGCCCTTGGATTCTAGGACAGGGCCCACCCAGAGCAGGCAGACAGGTGGACAGGGTTACAGAAGCACGGCATGATGAGAAGTTTCTTACATTTGGCCGCTCGGTTCTGTGTCTTCCCGTCCTTCTCTGCAAACGCAGGACAGGAAAGTCACCTCGGGCAAGTCCTGAGCCGCCAACTCCTCCCTCCCTACATCACGCCCGGCCGGCACTGACCTGTTTGAGCCGCCACCGAGCCCCACAAGCGCAGAACTCGCAGGCCGGGACAGGGGCTCAGCAGCCGCGTGGAGACGCCTCTCAGGGCCATGGGAGCAGCAGAGCAACAACAACCGACCTGGAAGGGAGCGGGTCGTCAAAGCGGAGCAGCTCCCCGTCCTACCCCCTCCCCCGGCCCTCCTGGCCTCAGGCTCCCGCTCCCTGCCTGACGTCCCGGAACTATCTGCAAAAGCCACAGGACAAGGGTGCAACAACAAAGCCCTTTGACCTCGGCAGGGATGGGAGGGGCGGAGGCTGAAGGAAGCTTCTCATTGGTTTTCCCTAGGACCCTGCTCCTCCACTGTTCTGCCTTTTAAAAGGGCCATGGCAACCCTGCCCTGCAGGCGGGCGCGCCCAGGCAAACATAAGCTGGCCCCTTTAAGGAGCAAAACAAAAATGGGGAGGAAGATTAGTACGCCAACCTGATTGACCAGCCAAGTTCCTGCTCTGATTGGCCCTCGGAGGGGGCTTGCCTGATTCCTGGCTGGCCAGTTGCAGAGGGCTTGTGTCGGGCGCCCTGTGTTAAGTTAGAAAACAGAAGCGCGAGGAAAATGAGTCCTGGAACCTAGGAGGACAGGCCTCAGGGTCTCCGCTGTGGGGTGCTGGGGGTGAGGGGGCAATGGATGGGCGATCCGAGCTTAGCACCTACCCTGACAGTCTGTCCCAGGAAGCACGTGTACCTGCGTGTGAGTGATTGCGTGTGACATTGTGTGTCTCTGTGTGTGTGGTTTTGCCTGAGTATGTACCTGTGTGTGAGTGGGACTGACTGTGTGCCAGTAACGTTGTGGGGCTATGATAGTGTAACTGTGTGACCGTGTAGGTTGGATTTCACCTGAGAGATTATGTGTCTCTGTAGGATTATGTTTCTCTAGGGTGTTATGGGATTCTGTCTTCATGTTGTATGTCTGTTTTGGGGATTGATTGTGTCTTATATGAGTCTAAGTGTGTGTGTTTGTGTGATTGACTGTAATTGTGTGTTTGTGTGATGCTGTTAATAGTTGTGAGTTTTTATGGATATGTCCAACATTCGTCTGTCAGTTTGTCATACTGTGGTGGCTTGCATGTTGCTGTGATGCTGGAAGCTGTGCCACCAGTATCTCAAATACCAGCAGTGTCACCCATGGTGGCAATGTTTCAGTGGCGTTTCCAGACTAAGATAGACTAGGAAGAAGGACCTGGCAGTCTACTTCTGAAAAAATTCGTCAGTGAAAACCTTATGAATAGCAGTGAAACATTGTCTGATATACTGCTGAAAGATGAGCCCATCAAGTTGGAAGGCACTCAAAATATGACTGGGGAAAAGCCGCCTCCTTAAAGTAGAGTCAACCTTAATGACATAGATGGAGTCAAGCTTTCAGGACTTTCATTCCCTGATGTGACTTGACTCAAAATTAGAAGAAACAGCTGCAAACATCCATTAATAATCAAAACGTGGAACGTAGCGTACGAAGCATGAATCTAGGAAAATTGGAAGTCATCAAAAATGAAATGGAACACATAAACATTGATATCCTAGACATTAGTGAGCTGATATGGACTGGTGTTGGCCATTTTGAATTGGGCAATCATGGTATACTATGCCAGGAGTGACAAATTGAACAGGGATGGAGTCACATTCATTGTCAAAAAGAACATTTCAAGATCTATCCTGAAGTACAATGCTGTCAGTGATAAGATAATATCCATATGCCTACAAGGAAGACCAGTTAATATGACTATTACTCAAATTTACACACTGACCACTAATACCAAAGATGAAGAACTTGAAGATTTTTACCAACTTCTGCAGTTAGAAATTGATCAAACATGCAATCAAGATACGTTGATACTTGCTGGTGATTTGAATGTGAAAGTTGGAAACAAAGAAGGATCAGTACTTTGGAAAGTACAGCCTTGGTGATAGAACCTATGGAGGAAATTGCATGATAAATTTTGCAAGACAAATGACTTATTCATTGCAAGTACCTTTTTTTTAACAACCTAAACAGCGACTATATACACATGGACTTCAGATGAAATACACAGGAATCAAATTGACTACATCTGTGGAAAAAGATGATGGAGAAGCTCAATATCATCAGTCAGAACAAGGCCAAGGGCTGACTGCAGAACCAACCATCAATTGCTCATACACAAGTTCAAGTTAAAGCTGAAAAAAATGAAAACAATTCCATGACAGCCAAAATATGACCTTGAGTATATCCCCCCAGAATTTGGATACCATCTCAAGCAATAGATTTGACACATTGAACACTAATGACCAAAGACCAGATGACTTGTGGAAGGACATCATACATGAAGAAAGCAAAAGGTCATTAAGAAGACAGTAAAGAAAGAAAAGACCAAAATGGATGTAAAAAGACTCTGAAACTTGCTCTTGAAAGTCAAGTTGCTAAAGCAAATGGAAGAAATGATGAAGTAAAAGAACTGAAGATTTCAAAGGGTGGCTTGAGAAGACAAAGTATTATAATGAAACGTGCAAAGACCTAGAGTTAGAAAACCAGAAGGGAAGAATATGCTTTCCATTTCTCAAGCTGAAAGAACTGAAGAAAAAATTCAAGCCTTGAGTTGCAATTTTGAATGATTCTCTGGCCAAAAATATTGAATGATGCAGGAATCATCAAAAGCAGATAGAAGGAATACATAGAGTTCTGTACCAAAAAGAATTGGTTAACGTTCAACCATTTCAGGAAGGAGCATATGATCAAGAACTGATGATACTGAAGGAAGAAGTCTAAGCTGCACTGGAGGCATTGGTGAAAAACAAAGCTTCACCAACTGATGGAATACCAATTGAGATTTTTCAGCAAAGGGATGTAGCGCTGGAGGTGCGCACTCATCTATGCCAAGAAATATGGAAGAAAGCTACCTGGCCAACTGACTTGAAGAGATCCATATTTGTCCCCACTCCAAAGAAAGGTGATCCAACAGAATGAGTAAATTATCCAACAATATCATTAATATCACATGCAAGTAAAATTTTGCTGAAGATCATTCAAAAGCGGCTGCAGCAGTACATCAACAGGGAACTGCCAGAAATTCAATCCGGATTCAGAAGAGGACATGGAATGAGGGATATCATTGCTGATGTCAGATGGATCTTGGCTAAAAGCAGAGAATACCAGAAAGAGATTTACATGTGTTTTATTGACTACGCAAAGGCATTCAAATGTGTGGATCATAACAAATTATGGATAACATTGTGGTCTTAGGCTAGGTTCTCTAGAGAAGCAAAACCAGTAAAGTGTATAAATATATATGTACAGAGAGATTATATCAAGGAAACAGCTCACGTGATTGTAGAGGCTAGAACATCCCAAGTCCGTGGATCAGGGTAGAGGCCTCTCCCAAGTCACACAGCCACAGAAGCTGGCAAGCCCAAGACCGGAAGGTCGGAGAGCAGGGCTCCCACTCACAGGCCGTGCAGATCAACGAATCCCAGGTTCAGCAGATAAGCTGACAGCTCAAGTCCCAAGAACGGGAGATGAGATGACAGGAAGCAGCTGCAGGATCCAGAGAGAGCAAAAACCCAGAACGTCTGGTTAATTCAGATGCAGGCCACACCCCCAAGGAGACTCCCTTTCATCTGATTGGCTACTCACAGTATCTTCAATCATGGGAGTGATTACATTAAAACACTGAGAATCATGGCCCAGCCAATTTGACACACAATCTTAACCATCACAATTGTGAAGAATGGGAACTCCAGAACACTTAATTGTGCTCATGTAGAACCTGTAGATAGACCAAGAGGCAGTCGTTCAAACAGAACAAGGAGATACTGCATTGTTTAAAATCAAGAAAGGTCTGTGTCAGGGTTGTATCCTTTCACCATACTTATTCAATCTGTATGCTGAGCAGATAATCTGAGAAGCGGGACTATATGAAGAAGAATATGGCATCAGAATTAGTGGAAGACTCATTAACAACCTGTGATATGCAGATGACACAATCTTGCTTGCCGAAATCAAAGAGGACTTGAAGCACTTACTGATGAAGATCAAAGATAACAGCCTTCAGTATGGATTACACCTCAACATAAAGAAAACAAAAATCCTCACAACTGGACCAGTAAGCAACATCATGATAAAAGAAGAACAGATTGACATTGTCAAGGATTTCATTTACTTGAATCCACAATCAACGTCCAAGGAAGCAGCTAGTCAAGAAATCAAACAATGTATTGCAACGGGCAAATCTGCTGCAAAAGACTTCTTTAAAGTGTTAAAAAGCAAAGATGTCCTTTGAGGACTAAAGGGCACCTGATGCAAGCCATGATATTTTCAATCGCCTCATAGACACGGGAAACTTGGACAATGAATAAGGAAGACCAAAGAAGAATTGATGCCTTTGAATTATGGTGATGGCAAAGGATACTGAATACACCATGGACTGCCAGAAGAACAAACAAGTCTGTCTTGGAAGAAATACAGCCAGAGTGCTCCTTGGAAGCAAGGATTGCAAGACATTGTCTCACGTACTTTGGGCATGTTATCAGGACGGGCCACCCTGGTGAGGGACATCATGCTTGGTAAAGTAGAGGGTCAGGGAAAAAGAGGAAGACCCTCAATTAGATGGACTGACACAGTGGCTGCAACAATAGATTTAAACATAACAACGATCATGAGGATGGCGCAGGACCAGCAGTGTTTTGTTCTGTTGTACATAGGGTTGCTGTGAGTCAGAACCTACTCAACAGCACCTAACAACAACAACAACAACACTATCACAAAGATAACAGTCACACTTACACATTAAACCAGTGAAACAGGCATACATGCAGTGCCACACATGCAATTGCGTAGAATACCATTACACAAGTTTACAATTTCACAGACAAAAAACACAAAGACATACATCCACAATTATGGTTGCAAAGTCACAGGCACTCAGCCGCCTATAGTCAACAGACATATAAACACACACAGTCACAACACAAGCACTCTTGCAACCACACAGACACAATCATATACTGAAACAGAGCATAACCACATGGAAACATCCATGTTGTTGTTGTTGTTAGGTGCCTTCCAGTTGGTTCCAGCTCATAGCAACCCTATGTACAACAAAAGGAAACACTGTGCCATCCTCATAATCTTTGCTATGTTTGAGCCTATTGTTGCAGCCACTGTGTCAATCCATTCTGTTGAGGGTCTTCCTCTTTTTCGCTGACCCTCTACCAAGCATGATGCCCTTCTCCAGGGACTGCTCCCTCCTGATAACATGTCCAAAGAATATGAAAGCAAATCTCACCATCCTTGCTTCTAAGGAGCATTCTGGCTGTACTTCTTTCAAGACAGATTTGTCCGTTCTTCTGGCAGTCCATTAAAAAAAGAAAAAAAAAAAAAAACCAAACCCGCTGCCATCGAGTCAATTCCAACTCATAGTGACCCTGTAGGGCAGAGGAGAACTCCCCCATAGGGTTTCCAAGGAGCACCCGGCAGATTTGAACCCCTGACCTTTTGGTTAGCAGCCATAGCTCTTAACCACTATGCCACCAGGGTTTCTCTGGCAGTCTATGGTATATTCACTATTCTTTGCCAACACCAAAATTCAAAGGCATCAATTCTTCTTCAGTCTTCTTTATTCATTATCCAGCTTTCTCATGCGTATGAGGCAACTGAAAATACCATGGCTTGGGTCAGGTGATATTAATGATATTGTCTAATAATTTCCACATTCTGTTGGATTACATTCTGGTGGATTCAAACTACCAACTTTTGGTTAGGAGCTGTAGTTTACCATAACTCTTAACCACTGTGCCACCGGGGCCCCGTGTAATAGTATGACTGCATATTTGTGTGTGTGTCTGTGTGTTTCTAGTGGTGGTGTGTCTATATATGTGTCCATGTGACTTGGTTTATGTGCAGTTGTGTGTAATTATGTATCTGAATGTGATCATGATGCTACGTGTGGTTATTCTCCCCTTAGTGACTCTTTGAGCATTTATGTGACATGTATTTGAATCTGGGTATATAGTATTGCTTGTATCTGAAAAGTACACATCTCACGTGACCCACTCATTTACCAGTTTGGGAAACTAAGGCCCAGACAGCAGAAGGGTCTTGCTCAAGGTCACAGTGGAACAGGTACAAGAGCAGGGACCAGGACTGGGATTCAGGTCTCCCGACTCTCAGGCCAGGCCTCTGCCTACTCACAAACAACTCTTCGCACGTGGACCCTCCGTCGTTGTCTGTGTACAGTGCTCTGCCTCTGCCATCTCCAGCTGAGTGTGAAGGGAGTAATTGTTGGATTGTGTCTGAGTGTGATCACTGGAATCAAGTGCCTGGGACCTGGGTGCTCCTGAATTCTCCCACCTTCTGGGCCCTTCTCATCCTTAATTTCCAAGTAAAACAATTTGAACCCCCACCACCACCACACACACACCCACACACACACACCCACACACACCCACACACAGCAGGAAACCCATCACTGCCCTGAATTGTCTAGGATTCTTCATAGTTCTCGGTCTTCTGGTCACCTCCCTCCTCCTAAGCCAGTGACATCTCTCCTTTCACCCCCTCTTTTTCCTAAAGCCCTCTGCCCTGGAACTAGTGTCGGTGTTGAGGTTCTCCAAGGCTCAGGAACTGTTGGTGGGGAAACCTGATTTTGATTTTGGGAAACCCAAGTCGAGGCTGAGACCTTGCCGCTCCTGGAAGTGCGTGTTCCTCCTGGCCTCACACTCCCAGGGGCCTTGTCTCCCAGCCAGAGGGCCCTGTGTCTGGATGCTTGGAATCATACAATATATGGCCTCTTGTGTCGGGTTTCTTTCACTGAATATAATGTTTTGAAGGTTCATCCACATTGTGGCATGTATGAGACTTTCTTTTTTTGGCTGAATAATATTCCATTATATGAATATACCACATTGTGTTTATCCATTCATCTGTTGATGGACTATTGGGTAGTTTCCACCTTTTGACTATTGTGAATAATACTGCAGCGAACACTGGTGTACAAATATTTGTTTGAGTCCCTGCTTTCAAGCCTTTTGGGCATACCTAGGAGTGGAATTGCTGAGTCATATGGTAGTCATATGAGTTCTATGTTTAACTTTTTGAGGAAACGCCAAACTATTTTCCACAGCAGCTGCACCATTTTACATTCTCACCAACAATGTATGAGGTTCCAATTTCTCTTCCACATTCTCGCCAACACTTGTTTCCATTTTTAAATTATAGCCATCCTAGTGAGTGTGTCTGGAAACCCTGGTGGCATAGTGGGTAAGTGCTACAGCTGCTAACCAAAAGGTCGGGAGTTCAAATCCACCAGGTGCTCCTTGGAAACTCTATGGGGCAGGTGTACTCTGTCCTATAGGGTCACTATGAGTCGGAACCAACTCGATGGCAATGAGTTTTTCTTTTGTTTGTTTGTTTTTTGGTTAGTGTGTCCAGATACCGTTTACATTGCTGCCCACCCACCTGGTGGCACATAAATTTTTGTCTTTTTGTGTGATGTGTGTTTGTGGTGCACCAACTCTGTGTGATTGTCTTTGGTGATATGTCTGTGTCTGGGTAAGGTTGTGTGCCTTCAACTCTCAGGTGTCTGAGTCCCTGTTGGAGTGGTTGCCTGTGTTTCTGTGTGCCCCCTGTGGTTGGGCATTGGTAACTCTGCAATTGTGTGAATAATTACCATGGTGACAGTGACAGGTGGTGTGACTATGGAAGGCTGTACATTCTGTATGGTCCTGTGGATGATTGTATCTGCGTCTGATTTTATGACATAGAGCTGTGTTACTACATCATTGTGTGTTTGTGAATGGTTGTGTGGTGTTTTATGCTTGTATGTCTGAGGCTACATCTGTGTTTGATGGGGTTGTGTGCCTGTATCTTCTATAGCTCTGTGACAACAATCCCTGCATGTCTGTTTGATTGTATCAGTGTGGTTGTGTAACTGTGTGGTTGTGTCAGTGCTTTGTGTGGCTATAACATTGTGCAACAAATGTAGTGCATGGTTGTGCTTTTATTGCTGGGAATTGTGTATCTGTTCATGGGTAAGCCAGAAACTGTGGTCTGTGATTGAGGGACCAGAGACTTGTGTCACTATATAACTGAATGGCTGTGTACAACTCTGAACTATGTGTGATGTGTGTCCATGTCCCCCTCCTGGGCTCCCAGGGTCCCACAGTGGAAGTCCCTGGTGCAGAACCTCAGATCCCTCCCCAGTGTGGGGTGGAAATCAAGCAGCAGCCAGGCCCAGGGCAGGGGTGGGTGCAGGTCTCCTGCAGGTCAGGCACTTCCTATGGCCCCATGCAACTGGTTCAGCGCATCCTGGAGAGAGGGCGAGCTTTGCCCTCTGCAAATCGCTTCACACTGGGCAGATGTAGTTACACCAGCCTCAGCCTCCCCAAGCTGAGTTCCTTGCAGCAGCACTGAACGAGGGGCTATGGTAGGTAATGTGGGGCTGATTGGCAGGGGCTCACTCCTGCCACAGAGTCAGACCCTGGGAGCTCACAACCCAGACATTGTAAAGCCAACCTAATATGAAGTCCCAACCCCCAGCCCTCCTGCTCACTGGGGACAGAACTTTGGCTGTTCTGGGCCCCCACCTGATAGCAGCCCGTGACATCTGGGGTGCTTGATAATACTTGCAGGGAGTTTGTGCCAAATCCCGCCACCAGCACGGTTGATGCTGTTTATAGAGGGAGAGGGCTTCAGGGCCCTGCTTAGGGGAGAGGGGGTCCTGCAGCCCCTTCCCAGAATACCCATTCCACCTGTCACCCCCTCTCCAGAAAGGTAAACTGAGAGCAGGTCCCCAAGTCTGTCCTTCCTTGGGGACCCAGTGTCTCACTTTACCCAGTAGCTGAACCCCCAACCCCTGAACCCCCAAGCCCTGACATCTAACCCAACTCTGGATGCAGGGGCAGTCTTTAAGACCCAGCTTCAAACAGGCTGAGGTGAGTTCTGTTCCCCAGAAATGGTAACCCCCCTTCTCCTTGCCTGCCCTTATCAGGGGCTGCAGCCAATCAGCTGAGTGCTGAGAGGAGTTCTCTGAGGGGCCACCAAAGCCTCAGAGCCCACAAGGCAGCTGAGGGAGAGGAGGCCTGAGGGCCCAGGGTGGGCACCCAGACCTTGGAACCACCATGGCCGCAGCCGAGATGGCCTTACCCTCCATCAGCACACTCTCCGCCCTGGGCCCCTTCCCGGACACACAGGAGGACTTCCTCAAGGTGGGGCCAGACGGGGCCTAGGTGGGCTGGCTGGGCTCCAGGGCATGGCCACAGAGCATGGGGGTCGGAGCCTGAGTCTTGGCCTGGACTCAAGAGACCTGGCCAGGACTGGGGAGTGGGAGGACTTGGTCTGGGGGGTAGGTGGTCAGAGAGGTTCAGGGACTCATTTCTGTAGTGGGAAGCTGAGGCTCTGACTTGAATACTATGAGTCTGAAGCTCAGAGAGACAACCCCAGATAGCAGAGGGAAACACAAACGTTTCTAGGGAATGGCCCCAAATCCCATTGCCATCAAGTTGATTCTGACTCATAGCGACCCTATAGGACAGAATAGAACTGCCCCATAGGGTTTCCAAGGCTGAAATCTTCAAGGAAGCAGACTGCCACATCCTTCTCTGGCAAAGCACCACTGGTGGGTTCCAACCGCTGACCTTTCAGTTAGCAGCCTAGCGCTTTAACCACTGTGCCACCAGGGCTCCCAGGGAACGGCCAAGGTTTGGGAATTAACCTTGCAGGAGGATGGGGAAGGAGAGGGAGGTTCTGGGGGGAAACTGAGGCAAGGCTGGGCCCCAGCCTTCCATATCTGGCTGTCATCCCTTCCCCCATGCCCTAGTGTGCCTCTCAGGCTCTAGATAACAGAGGTCTTATCTCCTGTCTCCAGCCAGACCCGAGCAACCTCTGTGCCTGGAGCTGGGAGGGTTGGGGGGGGTGGTTATGGGGGCGGTGGGACAGACTGACAGGCAAACAGACCCCTTTCCAGAGTCTCCAACCAGGCTGTCCCCATCAGGGCATCTGGATGAGCCTTCATTGGGCAGGGTACCCGGGTGTCTGCTGAAACCTCGTGTTGACGGTTCCCTTCCGCAGTGGTGGCGCTCCGACGAGGAGCAGGACCTGGGCCCGGGGCCCCCTGGCCCCACAGGGCTGCCCCTCAACGTGAAGCCGGGGTCTGAAGACGTGCCCAAGGAGGACGAGGACGACCAGAGGGACGAGGCTGTCGCCTGGGACCTGGATCTCCTCCTCACCAACTTCCCTGGCCCGGAGCCAAGCGGCGAGGCCAGGACCAGCGTTCTGGCTCCAGGCGATGGCCCGGGGGAGCAATACTCGCTGCCGCCTGAGACTCTGGGCGCGTACGCCAGCAGCCAGGGGCTCGTGACTGGGCTCTTGGGTCCAGAGGAGCACCCGGGCTGGGCGCGCCCGGCCCCCCGACCCCAGGCCCCCGACGCCTTCGTGGGCCCAACCCTGGCCCCGACTCCCGAACCCAAGGCGCTGCCGCTGCAGTCGGTGTACCCCGGGCCGGGCGCAGGCTCCTCGGGCAGCTACTTCCCGCGGACAGGATTTTCAGTGCCCGCGGCGCCAAGCGCCCCCTACGGGCTGCTCTCTGGGTACCCCACGCTGTACCCGGTGCCGCAGTATCAAGGGCATTTCCAGCTCTACCGCGGGCTCACGGCGCCCGCGCCGGGCCCCGCCGCGCCCCCCCACTTCCTCAGTTGTCTGGGACCTGGGACGGCTGGCGCGGGGCTAGGGGGCACCGCAGCCGACACAGGAGGAATCGGAGAGACCGCGCCATGCAAGCGCAGCCGGCGCTCGTGGGCGCGCAAGAGACAGGCGGCGCACACGTGCGCGCACCCAGGCTGCGGCAAGAGCTACACCAAGAGCTCCCACCTGAAGGCGCATCTTCGCACGCACACGGGTGAGGGAGCGGAGCCCTTGCGCAGTGGGCGGAACTAGAGGCGGGGCCCGGGGAGAAGAAAAAGGGACCAAGGCGACCCGCTAGAGGCCAAGTCCTGGCAAAGGGGGTGGGCCTGTAACGCAGGAGGCGGAGCTAGAGGCAGAGTCCTGAAGCAAGGGACAGGGCAAAGAGCAGAGAGCAGGCCTGGAACCTCAGGGGCAGGGGCAGAGGGCAGGACAGCGGTGCGGGAGGGGGCTGTGGGCACACAGAGGGCCTGGAAAACTTGGGAAGCGCTTCAGAGCTGGGAACTGACGAATAAGCCCTTGGCGCAAGGGGCGGGCCGAGGAACCGAAAGCTAGTTGCGTAGGGGGTGGGGCTAGAGGAGGGACTGCGAGGAGCGGACAAGTCTGGAATGCCAGGCGAGGCCAAAGACACAAGGTTCAAAGTTGAGGCAAGAGGGGAACGAAGTCAGGGGCTCAGGTGCTTTAGTCAGGGGTATAAAGCGCAGGTTGCTTCGCATGTAGGCGGAGCCAGACGTGTAGGGGGTGTGGCTGAGACTCAGGATTTCAGACACTGGGACAGGGCAGGTGCAGGTTTCAGGGTGCAGAGGAGGGTCACAGAAGACGGGGCCCAGATGTAGAGACAGGCCACGAGGGCAGGGGGAAAAGCTGGGAAACAGAGGAGAGGGCTGGGCATAGAAAGAGAAGCCAGGTCCCAGCGAGAGGAAGACAGGGGCCGGGGCTATGGAATAGAGGCGGGGAGGGGGCGGGGCCTATGGTCACGGGTCAGGACAGAGGATCCGGCCAGATGTACTGACCATTTCAAGGGCTCAGGGGAGTAGCCAGGAGTATTAGAGGCAGAGTGTAGACCACCCGAGACAGAGTAGATTTCGAGGCTCAGGGGCCAAGAGCAGGGACAGGGTTGGGCAGCAGCTGGAGGTGCCCGTGGTGCAAGGGAGAGATTGGAGGGCTGGTATTAGGACGCAGGGACAATGTACCAGAGCACAGGAAATGAGGACGGGTGTGCAGCCAGGTGCAGGTGCAGAAGGAAAAGGGTCGGGGTCACAGAGGATGAGGCCTGGGTGCAGACGCAGGGCCGGCACCTCTGAGAGAGGGCCTTCTTACATTTTGCGCCCTAAGCGCCTCACTCACCCTGGCTCTGGCTTGAGCATAGCAAAGGAGTGCAGCAAGGTGCCGGGGCGGAGACTTGGGGACTGGACAGTGGTGCTCACGGCCCCTTCGCCCCCAGGAGAGAAGCCATACGCCTGCACGTGGGACGGCTGCGGCTGGAGGTTCGCGCGCTCTGACGAGCTGACCCGCCACTACCGGAAGCACACGGGACAGCGCCCTTTCCGCTGCCAGCTCTGCCCCCGAGCATTTTCGCGCTCCGACCACCTTGCACTGCACATGAAGCGCCACCTTTGAGCCCCTCCCGGCACCTGGACCCGCCCGGGGCCTGGGGCTGGAACAAGAGCAAGTGGATCCACGCGGGGTGGTTTTCCTCCGGACGGACCCGTGCCTGGACTCGCGGCATCACAGATCTAACAAAAGATCAAGGCTCAACCCATACATAGAATTGGGGAAGCCTCAAAGGAAGCCCCTTACATGTTCTCAGTCACATGGAGCCACACAGAGACGTCCAACAGTCACATAGACCCAGCGAGACAGACCTCCAGATAAACTGACTCAAATGGACAGTCAGACAGCTAGACCCTCAGACCAGCCCTGAGGCCGTCCTGGACAGCAGGAAGGGGCACGTTGAGAGGCTTCCCAAAGACCCTGGGTCTAGAAAGGGGCTTCACATCAAGATCCTTCCTGAAGCTCTGCATGGTGGCAGTGCCCTCCGGCCATAGCCCTCCACCCCGGCCTGGCATCAGCTGTGAATGGTTATGGGTTCTGTAAAAATGTCCCCCCTCCCCCCATAAAGCTTCAGTGTTGGCCTGACTCTGTGGGTTTTGGGGATTTTGGAAGATGGGAGGCTGTATCCCCAGAGATGATATTGGGAGCCGTACACACTCTCAGCTCCTAAACCCCAGCGACACCCCTCACTTCAGGCCTTGCTGCTCCTCCCCGCCACCACCATCAGGCTACATGGTCATTGTCCCCCGCCTTACACGTGCACAGAGACGGTCTCCTTCCTTTTAAGAGCGCCTCAGCCTGGGCGCTCAGAGTGACCCTTTGGCTAGCTCAGGGGGATGTAGGAAAAACGTGCAGAATGAAAAGGGAAGAATCAGGAAAGGTCACAAAGGGTTGAGTCCCGTGCTAAAAGCAGGAAAGGAGAAATTCCAAACTTGTGCCGGGGAGCCCCGAGGCGGAGTGGACAGAGGAACGTGGAATACCGCGAGGTTCAAACGGGAAGCGGGACTGAGGGGAGGGTCGTGGGCTGTGATTGGCTAGGAGCGGAGTCGGAGGCTGGACACAGACAGCCTGGCTAGAAGCGGGCGTGGTTTGAGGAGAGAGATCCAGAGGGTGGAGCCTATCAAGGACTGAGTAGGCCCGGAACAAAAGACGGCCCCAGGACCGCCCAGTCGGGGGCGGGGCCTCGCCCCTGGAGAACCAGGGCTGTTCGTCTGGACCCTGGGGGCTGACCTCTATCCTCTGGAGACTCTGGCCCGGGTTCTAGGCGAATTTGGAGAAGTGAAAGCCGCACCTAGCAGGGCCTGGCCAAGCTCGTGACCCGCCACCCTGCCATCACGAGGCACATTTCCTCATGGCCGCGCTGTGCCCGCTGCTCCTGGCGGTGCTGATGGGGGTCCCTGCAGGGACCCTTACCTGCTACGGGGACTCGGGGCAGCCAGTGGACTGGTGAGGGCGCGGGCGCCAACCGTTTCCCCCACCCCCGCGCGGCGCCAGGGGACTTCCAGGATTCCTGAGCTCCGGGGTGAGTGTCTAGGGTTCCCTCTCTTCCCCCTACCCCATTTCTGTCCGCTCCCCAACCTCCAGGTTCGTCGTCTACAAGCTGCCGGCCAAGAGCGGGCCTGGGGACGCGGCCGGGAGAGGGCTGAGGTACAAGTACCTGGACGCGGGCTCGGGAGGCTGGCGTGACGGCGCGGGGCTCATCAGCAGCTCGGCGGGGGCCGTGGGCCGCAGCCTGCTGCCACTGTACCGCAGCAACGCCAGCGAGGTGAAGGGGCGCGGGGACAAATCTAGGGTGTGACTCCAGGGTGGGTCCCGCCTGGGGGGAACATTCACTTTGCCCCCGTCTGCCCCCCCCCTCCCCCCAGCTCGCCTTCCTGCTCTACAATGACCAGCCGCCTAAATCCAGCAGAGTTTGGGACTCTTCTAGCCGTGGGCACACAAAGGGTGAGGCCTCCGTTGGGGTTGGGGAGGAGTTCATGGTTTCCCCATGAATATTCCGCAGCTGACCCCTGACTGTTGTGGGAGCCTGCTCGTTCAGGCCTTAGAGGTCTATATCTTCATTTTATGTAAACGTTGTCATTCCTCTGTACTATGAGAATTGACGGCTGGGGAAATTGAGCTAAGCAGTGGTCCTGACACTGCCTATACCCTTTCCAAGCCCCCTGTAAACTGTAAATTCCGGGTCACAGATGTGCTTACTGATACCTTGAGCAGTCCCACTGATCCCCCTCTTCTGGTTCAGGGGTGCTGCTTCTGGACCAAGAAGGGGGCTTCTGGTTGGTCCACAGTGTTCCACGCTTCCCTCCACCTGCCTCCTCTGCTGCCTATAGCTGGCCTTATAGTGCTCGACGTTATGGCCAGACCCTGCTCTGTGTGTCTTTTCCCCTCACCCAGTTCCTGACAATTGGTGAGTGGGGACAGGGAGGCAGGGCGAGTCCCCGATTCCCAGGTCAGAGACTGAGCTGCCCCCACACTTCCTCCTCTCTTGCCCCACTTCCAGGCAGGCAGCTGTCCTACACCTACCCCCTGGTGTATGACTACAAGCTGGAGGGGGCCTTCGCCCAGAAATTCCCTAACCTGGAGGAGGTGGTCAAGGGCCACCACATTCGCCATGGACCCTGGAACAGCAGTGTAACACTCACATCACAGGCAGGGGCCACTTTCCAGAGCTTTGCCAAGTTTGGAAACTTTGGAGATGGTGAGCCCTGAGGTTAAGGGTTGGGGAACTCTTTTATCTGTAAAGGGTGTGTCTGGTGTGTGTGTGGCTGAGAGCAGACCCAGAATAGGGAGACTGGCTCTCTTTGGGAGCCATAATTACATGAGAGATAAAGTACTGACAGACCTGAGTTCAGATCTTGGTTTCTGTGTGTGATGTGTGATTTAACCTGAGCCTCAGTTTACTCGTCTAAAAAATGGGGCTGCTGTACTTACCTTACAGGATTGTTGTGATGCTTCAATGAAGTGATGCATATAAAGTGTTTAGGAAGGGCTGTTGGTTAAGTGGGGCCCTGGTGGCACAGTGGTTAAGAGCTACGGCTGCTAACCAAAAGGTTGGCAGTTCGAATCCACCAGCTGCTCCTTGGAAACCCTATGGGGCAATTCTGCTCTATCCTATAGGGTCACTGTGAGTCAGAATCAATTCAACAGCAACAAGTAGTAGTAGTAGTAGTAGTATTGGTTAAGAGCTCAGCTGCTAAGCGAAAGGTCGGCAGTTCAAACCCACCAGCGGCTCCCTGGAAACCTCATGGGGCAGTTCTACTCTATCCTATAGGGTCACTGAGTCAAAATTGACTTGACAGCAACAGGTTTGGGGGTTTGGGGTTTTTTTGGTATTAATGTTAATACTGTCATTTTTTGGGCTGCCAAGAATTAACAACTGAGGAAACTGAGCTCAGAGAGGGAAAGTGGCTACCCCAATATCTAGCAGTGACCCTGATCCTGCCAATGCCCTCTTTCCATCCTTTGCAGACCTGTACTCTGGCTGGCTGGCAGCAGCCCTTGGCAGCAACTTGCAGGTCCAGTTCTGGCAAAATTCTGCTGGAATTCTGCCCTCTAACTGCTCGGGTGCTCAGCAGGTGCTGGACGTGATTCAGACAGCCTTCCCTGGGCCAGCTGGGCCAACCTTCAGTGCCACAGAAGACCACGCCAAGTGGTGTGTGGCCCCAAAAGGACCCTGGGCCTGCGTGAGTGACATGAATCGGAACGTGAGAGAGGAACATCGGGGCGGGGGCGCACTGTGTGCCCAGCTGCCTGCTCTCTGGAAGGCCTTCCAGCCATTGGTAAAGACCTGGGAACCCTGTAAGGAGCCCTGGTGATGCAGTGGTTAAGCACTTGGCTGTTAATTGAAAAGTTGGTGGTTCAAACCCACCAGCCACTCCACGGGAAAAAGATGAGGCAATCTACTTCCATAAAGATTACAGCCTTGGAAACCATATGGGATAGTTCTACTCTGTCCTACAGAGTTCCTATGAGTCAGAGTTGACTTGATGATGGCAATGGGTTTTGGTTTTTGGGAACCCTGTAGGGAATAGAGCAGAGCCTTCTCTCCCAGAGACTCAGCAGAACATAAGAGATTAGGCTCTGGAACCAGTTTGGACTTCAGTTTGAATCCCATAATCCTAATCCTGTGAACTTAATTATATGCCTTAACCTCTCTGTGACTCAATCTTCTCATCTGCAAAATGGGAATCATAACACCTACCACTCAGGAATGTTGAAGAGTAAAATAAAATTGGTGGATTCAGCTGTTAGCCTTTTCTTTAGGCAGGCAGTGGGACTCAACATGTTGCAGGCCAGCTGTTGTGTAGGTGAGGCTGGAAGTGGAACCACAGGAAGGGCCCAGGCCTCCATCCAAGACTGGAGTTGCACCCTCAACAAGCACAGCAGCACAGGGGATGGGACACCGTGGTATCCTGCCCTGCCAAGGGAGGGAGGGATGCATGAGCCCCAGAAAGTTCACGCAGCACTGATGCACTTTATTTATATGTGTACATATGTTTACAGGTAGCTGTACAGCATAGGACCAGAGGCCCACTTGGCTATGGGCCTGGGGGTGCAGGGCAGGGTGCCCCTTTCTTAGTCAGGCCTGGAGGGGGCACAGCTTCAGCAGGGCATCGGGAGGACATCCCCACCTCGGGCTTAGTCCCCGGGACCAGGAGGGAAGCAGGTGGGGCTGGAGGCCCTGTGCTGCTGGGCACACTCTTTGATGGGGCTAGGACAGAGGCCTGGGGTTCTGGGCAGAGCTTGGGGGAGGTGGGCTTGGAGCGAGGTGTACTCAGCATGGTCCGCTCCTCCACCACCTCCAGCACCCAGCGCTCCCGGCCTCTGGGGGCCTCAGGTACTGGAGGCGCCAGGGGCATGGGTTGCTGCATCTCCTTGGAGTCTGTGCCGGGAGGCTGGGGCGGCTCGGCCTTGGTCCCCAACCGGGCAGGCTCCACAACTATAGGCACCAGGGGCGTGCCCGCCTCACCCGAGCTGCTGCGCCGGCCAGTCTCATGTTCCTGTACTGGACTTAGCGCTGCCTTGGCCACGGCCCTGGCCACCCCGCCTGTGCCATCCTCTGTCTGCACACTCTGATGCCGCATGCTGCCGCCATCCCGCTCCAGGGTCCGACCCCCCGGAGTCGTCGCGCGGGGCGGGGTACAGGCCTCAGCCCCACCTGGGGACTCCTTCTCCTTGCTCGACGCCAGAGGCCTGGGGGTTCCCTCCGGCAGCAGCGGGTCCGTGCCCAGGCTCAAGGGCGACTCCTGGCGACCCAGGCGGCGGACTGCAACCTGCCGGGGCGTACCAGGCCCCTCAACTGGGGGCGTCTCGCCGTCGGATTCGGCGAGGCTATGCAGCGCCAGCTCGCCATGGAAGTCCTTGCGGAAATCCGGGTGGCCCACCTCGAGGCTGTGTTTGCGCAGCGCACCCTTCTTGTCAGCGGCCAGCGAAGCTCCCAGCTTCTCCGCCGACTGCACGCGCTTGAGGAGGGGTGAGCGCGGGGGCTCTGCGCTCTTGGGGCGTGGGCGCACGACCGGCGGCGACGAGTGCAGCTTGGCCGGGAAGCTCTGCGTCGTGTGCGAGCTGCCTACCGTGTGGCCCGGTAGCGGCGGCGGCGACGCCTGCGTTGGGGACGGCGTGTGTGCCAGCGGCGACAACGGGATGTTGCCGGCTGACTTGCAGCGCGCGGAGCGGTACTGGCGGTGCAGCTTCGGCGAGAGGCCGTGCAGCGTGCTGGGCCGAATGTGGTGAGAAGCCGACGACGCCGGCGAGTTGGGCGTGCTTGAGGCCGGCGAACTGCTCTGTGATGAAGCGCCTGCAGGTGAGAGAGGAAGTCGCAAAAGCAAGAGAGGGTGTAGGATACGCTGGGCACATCCCCTCGCCCGCCAGCCTTTACGGTGGTACCCCTGCGCAGGCGCAGAGCCTACCTAGGTAGGCGGAGTCAGGCGTGGAGCGGTAGCTGTGCGTGGGCGAGCGCGCGGGCAGACCGTGCGTGGGTGAGCCCGGGAGGCTGTCGCTGGACGACAGCGAGCGGTTCAGAGACGACAGCGAGCGGCTAGTGTGCAGCAGGTTCGACTGCTTCGTGATCTTCCGGAAAAGGGAGCTACGCTTCTTGCTGGGGGAGATGGAGCAAGAGCCACCTACCCTTGACCAAACTCCCAGCTCCTCCCACTCAAGGGCCGGCCAACAGGTCTTAGAACCGCCCACTCCTCTTAGTCCCGCCCCCTCCAGCTAAAATATACCTGTCAGGACAGGAAGAACTTCGCTTAGCTCTGCCCAGCTTGGCTCCTCCCACCTGAGCCCCACCGATCCCTTTCTGGCCACTGTCAGTCCAGGCTGGAAACACCCATCAAAACAGAACCAACTTCTAGCCCCTCCTTCACCAGCTACAACTCATCTATCAGGGCAGGAAGAAATTCACTTGGTTCAGTTCTGCCTGGCTTTTCTCACTCAAATCCCCACCTACTCATTTCCCAGGACAAACCCACTTATCAAAACTGAAGGCTCTCTTGGAGCCACCCACCTCTCCTAGCTCCTCCTGTAAAGGAAGAAACTATTTCAGTTGGCCCCGTCCTACCTGGCTCACACGTTCCAAAAAGAATTCCCTTCTTCTAAGCTTCCAGTCCAGTCTAAACATCTAACAGGGCAGGACCATCTCCTGGCCCCACCAATCTGGCATGGCCCCTCCCTTCCAGCGTGGACTCACCCGTCAACTGCTGGGCCTGCCCACCTACCCAAGACACTCCCAGAATCCTTTTTTCCCCATCTAGAATCCAGGTGCAGCTTCCTTTCCTGCTTCCTCCCACTTTCCTGTCTTCTTGTCTTTGCTTTTCACCAGTGGCCCTGGCCACCTTTCCTGCTCACTTCTTGGGTTCACTAGGACACTTCCTGCCTTAGCCCCGCCCACTCCTCCAAGATGCTGATATGCTGTTGATAGTCCCGCCTACCTCACTTGTCACCGCCTACCTCTCCTGGCCCTCCTTGGCAGAGGGTCGCTTGTTCCTACGAGCCATCTTGGCCTTGTAGCTGCTGCGCCTCGCAGGGCCAATGCGGATGGAGGTATTCTCGAAGGGCGTTGTGGTCACCGCCACCTTGTTGCCGCTCTAGGGGCAGAAGGGAGGATGCTTAGGCTGCTCAGGCAGCTCCAGGTCCCCAGGATCTCCCCCACACCCTCCCCTGCACTCACTTTAAGGATCAGCTCCACGACCTCAGGATGCACCATGCCATGCACAGGCTCTCCATTCACATGGGTGATGAGGTCTCCGGCACAGAGCCCTGCCTCTTGGGCTGGGCCCCCCTCTTCCACATGCTGGAGATAGGGTACCCCACAGGGGCAGGGTTAATAGGATTGATAACAAAGAAAACTTCCAAAGCTTATGTGCCAAACACCTAGGTCCACGTGCACTGTAATTCTCAAAAAACAAAACAAAACAAAACAAAACCCACTGCCGTGGAGCCGATTCCAACTCATAGTGACCCTACAGGACAGAGTAGAATTGCCCCCATAGGGTTTCCAAAGCTGTAAATCTTTATAGCAGCAGACGGCCACGTCTTTCTCCAAGGTGCGGCTGGTGGGTTCGAACTGCTGACCTTTCGGTTAGCAGCTGAGCATTTTAACCACTGTGCCACCAGGGCTCTGTCATCCTCACAACACCCTATATATAGTAATTATTACCCCCCTTCTACAGATGAAGAAGCCAAGGCTCAGGGAAGTGACAAGGGGGTCACAGAGGATTCTCATTCGGGCTGCCTGGCTCTAAAGTGGGAGTTGTCCTTCATCCCAGGGGGCTCCTTTTCTCCCCCGACACACCCCAGGACACAGCCCCCCCCCATGAGTGCTCACCCAGACGATGTGATGGACACTGTAGACATCTGAGTCACCCATGTAGACACGGATGGCACGCAGTGTGAAGCCATACTTCTTCCCTGAGCGCTGGATTGTGATGGGGGAGCGTAGCCCACTGACAGCTGGTGAGTAGTCCCGGCTGGGTGATGAGTCCCGTGAGGATGGGTTGGAGGACAGAGATCGTGGGGACATGGGGCTGGCCAGGGGTGAGCTGCTGTGCGGGTCCACTGCAGACACAAACTATGATCAGGGGTCAGGGCCAACAAGATAAAGACCTCCCAAGTCAGACAATGTCCCAGGGCAGACTCTCATCGGTCCACCCCTGAACCAATCACTGCGGAGGGGAGATATGCAGTGTTTTTATTGGCCAGTCCTGGCTCAAATAGGAGCATCCCCTCCCCTGCCAGGTGGGGCCCTGCATCACCTGCAGGAATCATGACAGACAAGGCAGTGGCCGAGGCTGACTTGATAACTTTGCCCCCGGTTCGAGATGGCCGCTTCTCTACTGCGGTATCGCCTGTCAGCTGTTGGTGCCGTGCACGGCGCAGAACCAGGTCATTGGTAGCCCTAGAGGCTGATGAGTCTCCATCCTTCAGGGGTGGGCAGAGGTCTCCTGGGTGTGGGCGATCAGCTGTGACAGACAGCATGTGGGTTAGGGGCCAGGCCAAGGCCAAGGACTTCTCACATGCTGTTCCCTCTGCCTGGAATGCTCTTCCCACTTCTCTCCACTGCTGCACTGTGAGTTTCATGAACGCAGGTAACATATGCATTCAGCACTGCTCCTGATACAGAGAAGGTCTCAAATACATGTGTTGACTGTCTGATCATGGCATATGGGGTGCTCCTTATGTTGTTGAGAGTTTCAGGTTTTAGTGTGAACATTAAATGAAATTTTGCATATACAGTACCAGGCTCATGAAATGCTCAATATATGGGCACTGGAGAATTGGGGGAGCCCTGGTGTTGCTGTGTTTAAAGTGATTGACTGCTAACTGAAAGGTCGGTCGTTCGAAACCACCAGAGGCTCCACAGGAGAAAGAGGTGGCAGTCTGCTTCCACAGAAATTTACAGCCTTGGAAACGCTATGAGTCGGAATAGTAGGGATAGCAGTGGGTTTTTTTTTTTTTTTTTTTT